TCCAAACCATCACCCAAGCAGAGCAGTGGTTTTCAACCTTGAGGACAAAAGGAAGTTTCAAAGAAGGCATCGAGCAATTCTGAAAACTGAGTTCATTTGCACTTGTAGTAATCTGTTATTATCATCATCATTATCATCCAGTAACACTACGTGTCGTTGGGTCACCAGTTTCTGTTAACTGTCTGATCAGCTCTCTCCACCTTTGGCGTTCAGTTGCGATGGACTTCATAGTTGCATGCCTGAGGCCTGTCCAGTCAGTCAGTTTCTGAAACCAGTTCTTTCTTGGTCTGCCTCTTCTCCTCTCTCCCTCTACTGAGCTCTGCAGTATTGTTTTTGAGAGGCTGTTAGATCTTATTATATGTCCATACCATTGCATTTGTTGCCTTTTCACTGTAGTTGAAAGAGGTTCATAGTTGCCAATAATCTGTTATACAAACTGTTTATTTCAGTTTAATTATTAATTAAAATTTAACAGTCACAAAAACAAAACAGCGCTGCCAGCTTCAAGTGGAGAGTAATCTCTGTTGTGCCTTGTCCAACATCAGACCAAAAACAGCAAATATCATCAAGTAAAAACAGTGCCAACAATCACATTTATATTTGGACACTAAATTTTCAGTTGTTAGTGATTGTTTTATTTTATTTTACACTTTGATTTGCGTGCATGTTTTTCTCCAAGGTCTTACCACAGATTGATGGGGCACCACCTGAAAAGGTTGAAAACCATGGCAGTAGAGAATTGGTCAATTAAAAAAAAACGTTCCAGTCAGCATTTCACATTCTAGATCAACCTGTTGCAGTTCTTGTGCAGAATATTGCTCCTATTACCACATGCTGTGAAGACCTTACCTTCGTCAAACTTGCCTGCCCTGATGTTTGAACAATGGATCAACGTCATGACAAAAGTGTAGTAACCATAAGTGATCTGTTCTACTTCTAACTCAAGCCTGCCAATGGATTTTTATACATTCGCAACAATACACATGGGCGTTCGATCTTACTACCCACAGATCAGGGGAAGTTACTAGAAGTTCACGTGAAACAATCCCAGTCTGGCAATGGGAGACAGAGAAAATGTTGTACAATTTGTGATTATCACAGACAAGAAAATCTTTTTTTTTGCAGAAATGACTGACAATTAATAAAACTGAAGGCTGTGTACACAATGATTACCATCACTGCACGGTATGGAATAGAAGAAGGTAAACTTCAGAAAAATAATCAGAACATGTTACCTTCATCAAAGACACTTTACTTTCAATTTTTAGCTTAAAAATGATGCAAAATTTCTCTTTATATATGCTGTCATTTTTTATACCCATCAGTCTCTCCATCTCGATACATTTGTATCTTGATTTGCAAACTGCATTGTCTCACACTAAAATCCATTACCTTCTTTTTGTCTTTCTTCTCATAGATAAAATGACATAATTTGTTTCTTTACATAGTCTACAATGATATATCCTTAATGGTATTTGACAATTATTTAAAATTACCCAGTCAGATTTTACCCTCCTGGTCAATCTAAGAAGGACTGACCACCCCTGCAATTTCAATAGCTGGACATTGGATGACAATTCAATAAGCCAGAGATTCTCAACCTGTGGGTCACGACCCTTTTGTGGGTCGATTTACCATTTCAACAGGGGTCGTCAAAGACCATCGGAAAACACATATTTACTGAAGCTATGAAGTAGCAATGAAAATAATTGTATGTTTGGGAGTCGCCACAACATGAGGAACTGTATTAAAGGATAGCTGCATTAGCAAGGTTGAGAACTACTGCAATAAACCAAATCCCAAGTACCCCATTCAATCTCCAAATAAGTTATAAACAGGACACCCATAACGGCTCCCTCAAGAAAATCCCTGGCTCACCCTGCCACCCAAAGCTGGGTCAGGGTGTAATGATACTATTACTGTGACTTCTAAGAATACTTAAGCAGTAATCTGGTAATCCTAGTTTCAGCTTCATAGCAAACAGGTCACCCCATAGTTGCTCTCGCTCCTGTGCCAACGAAAAATACACGTAGCTCACAGTGTCACACCATGCACTCAACTCAGAAGCTGGGCAACGAAACTATATCCTTCCAGTCTATAAATGGAGCAAAAATGCAACAGCCACGGTTTGGCAGGGAAAAAAAAGGTGGCTGTGCCTAGCGTCCATTTTCACCTGAAGCATTATATGAGGGTTAATAAATGGTCACCCCAGCAGTACCCTCATTATTAGCTGGGGAAGGGACTTAGGACATTACATACACCAGCAGGCGTCGCCCCTACAACGACCTGCCTGCCTTCGTTAACGACTGTTTACCCAACAGCCATGCAGTTCTTTGGCACGAAGGAGACACCTTGAACTTGGGTTTCGGACTGCCGACTCCCTAAAATATGTTATTTTATGTTTTGTTATCACACTTGATGTCACTGCACATTGGGCATACCCATGCGTGCTCAGTTCTCCGAAGCAGCAGCCACTCGAAAGTACTTCTACTAATTGTCCCCATGAGAAGCTGGTTATATCGTCTCCTTTCTCGGCCCCGAAGACGGCAAAGACGTGCATCACCATGCTTAACTCCTATGTCACGCAATCGTGCCAGTGTCAGGGATTCCTGATTATTCACTAGCCCAGTTCGTACAGAGTTGACGATATCTGCTGTGTCCATGCTTTTTCCAGCAATCATTAGTGCAGTGCTTGCCAGTTGGTCCGCTCGCTCATTTCCATTTATGCCCGCATGACCCGATGTGTAGATCCAGATTATGGAGGTTAATTGCGATTTCCGAATGCTTTCTATCCATTCAGAGCGCATACTGCCTGTTGCTATCTTCTGAAGCATATTCATTGAGTCTGAGACAATTACTGCCTGTGTTCGGTTTGCTCGGATACCCACGCTAAAGCTCTAGAAGCAGCGGCTATTTCCATTGTCATGCTTGACGTGGTTGTCTGGTAAGCGCCGCTGTCCTCATGTATTGTTTTCCCCCTTCTTTGCGCTGTGTATGCCCATGCTGACCTTGATCCGCGCTTCACGGATCCATCTGTGTAGATTATGATATCTTCTGGGTCTGAATGCTGATCTATCAGTTCCCTAACTTCTGTGTCTACGGCCACAGGAATTTGATCCCTGCACAGTACTTAAGCAGTGTTTCATCATGTGGATAAAGTACATTGAACAATATCATAGTGCAACAGCTTTTAATATGAAAGGCACAAACAAACAATCGGCAGAAAGACCAATGATTTTAAACAAATACCTTGTTACTCATCTGAAGAAGCTACCGCTGAATGAAAAAAAAAAAAAAAGATTAAACTTTTGGGTGCTTTCTTAATATCCTACCCCAAACAGGAGAAATCCACAGGTCACAAGACAGTCTAATATTTCAGGGGGTGGTAGATAGGCTGCATGCAGTCATGGGACCTAGGCTGCACTCTCTTGTTGGACATAGGTGGGTTGGGGGTCAGGGCCAGTTGTAGACATTTTGGGGTCATTAAAAGCATCAGGAAGCCAGGAAACCCAGTCAAAACACCTTATAAAATGTTGGACTGTACTGTGACATCATCTGGGGTAAGATATTACAAAAGAACCAACGATTGAAACACATGTAAAAAGTGATCGCCTGGTAACAGTAAAATATTCAATTACATAAAATAGCTAACTTCATTATGCTATCTCATTTCCACAAGTTTATATATATATATATATATATATATATATATATATATATATATATATATATATATATATATATATATATATGTATATATATATATATATGTATGTATGTGTGTGTGTGTGCATGCGTGTGTGTGTGTGCGCGCGTGTGTGTGTGTGTGTGTGTGCGCGTGTGCGTGTGCGTGTGCGTGTGCGTGTGCGTGTGTGTGTGTGTGTGTGTGTGTGTGTGTGTGTGTGTGTGTGTGTGTGTGTGTGTATGTATATATATATATATATATATATATATATATATATATATATATATATATTATGTATATATATATATATATATATATATAAACAGGCAGCTCATTAAGATACAAGGTCACAAACATCACCATACAGCAGTCTGGAACATACACAAAAAATCAAATGAATCAACAACAAACACCATCTGTTTATTTATTCTTGGTATTTTTTTAACTGCTGTTTCTTCTAAAAACAAAGCATATTAACAAATTATTCACCCATACTGTTGTGTAACAAACAGCAAAAACAATGGTTCATCAGATCCAGAAATGTGCAACAATTGTATACATTTGTAACAACAACAAACTGTTTTTGAAATTTACCACAAAAATGTGTTCACTTTCTTGCAAACAGTGCATGGCAAAAATACCATCAAAACATAGAAAATGTTTACAAATATGGCTCTTTCTCAATGTTAGTACTAATTTCCTGTAATGTTAGCAACTATTACATGGCATATAACACATAAATTTATGTTAACATATTTAACTGTCTTCCTGTTCAGCACTTCCTGTGTTCGACCAATGGACAAGAAGTCCTCATCTCGTGTAAATTTACTCTTGAAATATTTATGGTCCTCCTAATGTCCACACGTGTGTGTTTCTAGGACTCCACATTTCTCCACCTTGTGGATTTCTAAACAAAATCTGTTCTTTAAAGCTAGCGATTGTTTACATAAGCAAATTTTGGGCACAAATGTATTTTTCTTGCCTCTTATTCCATTGGTGCTTGCTTAGTTCTTAAAATTAGTTAAATGTTGATGAACCTATTTGATTTAAGTCAGTTCAACAATCAGAAAATGTCTCTGAGCGATCTGCAATGAAACTGAAGTATCATAGGTAAACTTTTCAGAGGGATCAGCAAAACCATTCTAATGAATGATTCGTTTAATATCCCAACTTTTCTTTGAATTCTCACCTTCCTTCTCACATTGACCCTCGTTCTGCACACATCTGTACACAATACAGAAGGATTTTGCATGAGTTTGCAGATTTGTAAAACTTGAAGAGATCAAAGAATTCACCAATGGAATAACTGTTACCATCAAACAGCCTGTGCCATGTGCAAGGGATTCAACATCAGTTCGAATGTGGCCCCCTTTAGGTTAGCTCCCCTGAGGTTTGCTTCTTGCAGATCACAACCAGTCAGGTCACAATTCTGTCAACAGAGATTAATATTACATGTATTTGTGATCAAACTTTTGAAATAAATGTAATGACTCACTTAATCTGCAAAATCATGAATAATTTACACATTATTCTTGTATTTTTCTGTCTTCTTTTTCTCCTTCTTCTTCTTCTTCTCTCAGGAGAGAAAGGTTTTGGTTGTTCATTCACTTCTGAACTTTGGTCTTGCTCCAAAACTTGAGTTCTGGTGCACATCAATTTTAAAGATCCAGCTCATTTGTATGCAGACCGTTGGTTCCTTAACTTTCAGGTAGCTGCATTCTGACTTTGTATGAAACACCCCCCCCCCCTCTAATTAGTCACCTTTTATGACACACTTGTTAGGAGATCACTGGGTCTCTCCCCCCCCCCCCCCCTAATTAGTCACCTTTTATGACACACTTGTTAGGAGATCACTGGGTCTCCCCCCCCCCCCCCCCCCCCCAATCAATGGTGCCCCGGAAGCCACAATAGGAATATTTTTTTTGCTGAGTGTTAATGAATTCTTCAAGCACTTTTTTAATAATTAAAATATTGTTAACAGACAAGAGACTTTCTAAAACAAGTCTCACCTCCAAGTCTGCCCCAGCCAGAACTGCTCCACGTAGATCACAGTTTTGCAAGTTTGCATTTTTCAGTGTGGCTACTCTCAAATTGACGCCTGCCATGTGGCTACTTGCCAAATTGACATTCTTCATGAGGGCTCCTGTAAAACATTCATTTTTAAAACTTACACATGCAGGAAATATTAAATGTACAAGTATTCACGTCTGGTGAGGGGAGTGTGATCATCTGGAAGTTCTTCCCTCTAAAAGGACGATCAGTGCGAATAAAATTAAATGTTTAAATTCAATTTCACTCTTTCTTTCAAATAATGAAATCAATTTGAAACCTAATTTGGCATATCACCAGTGTTTTCCAAAATATTTTAAGAATGTGTGCTCATTGAAAAATGCAGATATTTTTTCACCTGTTTTAAAGCTCACAAACCATGATTTGCTGATCACTGCACTAGCCATTCTGCTGAGAGAGACTGAGCCAAATGAGATGACAATCTGGTGTAGTGAAGTCGATCTTCTCGCTATTTACTATCCTTCAACTTTAATTCTTTTAGCATCAAGACTAGTTTACTTTACATTTTTTTTACTTTAAGATGAGCTTAAAGCAATGCATACTCAGGTAGGAAGAGGTTCAATAAAAATAAGATAAAAAGGGTTAATTTAACATCTATTTATGGCAGAAGGTAACAAAACAAGTACATTATCTTGACAAAGAAATTTATGGTGAGTTGTGTGGTAATGAAAGTGTTAACCACATTACTACCATTTGCATTCTTCATGTACCCTGGCAACACAGATGAAAATTATATTTATACCCAATTTTTAAAAAATAATTGCAATCTATTCTTTGCCTGCCAACTTTCATGGCATAGGGACTGTGAATGCAGTTTTACAATCCTGAAATACAAGGTTTTAAAGTCAGCTGCAGGTGATCTGGTAACAGACCATTTTGCACTGACTGGAACAATGATGTGAACATCATACCAATCAGAGAGCAACAGCAAACTACTGAATGTAAATTTGCCTAGAAAAACTACTCAAAAGTAACAAAAACTGGGTTTGGTTTGTGGTGTTCTGTAAAGGTTAAGCAAGTAGCTTAATCCTAAGATTACAGGAGTCAGTAATCACTCAACTCTGTACTCTCATCCGTATTCTGTTTCCTAATATTTAAGTGCATTATGAGTTCATTGGTAGTTTTTAATTAACTTGCTAAATGGGCAATATATTTAAATATAACATACTATTTAAAGACTCTTTTTAAGGACTCGTGGGGCACTGAGCATATCCCTTGCATTCACCAGCTGTAAACTATGGTGTAAAGTTTTGGTTGTTTGTTCATTTCTGGACTTTGGTCTTATCCAGAACCTAAGTTTTGTATGCACATCCAATTTAACAGTTCTGGCTTATTTGTAATGCAGACTGTTGATTCCTCACCTCTCAGGCAGATTCAATCCAACTGCAAAGGAAATTCCCTTCACTAATGGCCTTGTGCGACATGCTTGTTAGGGAGGCACCTAGTCTATTCTCACCCTCCTCTCCCAAAAAAAAAACTGGTTTCTGGAAGCCACATGGGGAACACTGCTGTCGGACTCATATTTGGGCGAACCAAGTGACACTTGGTGGGTTATCAAGCCAAGCGCCTTTACATCCCAGGACATTATACCTGGTACCCATTTAAGGCTGAGTCTAAAGAATTTTGAAAGAATTCATCTCAATGCAGATTTGATCCCAAGAACTTAACATCTGCAGGCCAGTTTCAAGCCAATATAATTTAATCACAGTTCAAACTTCATAGCAGAAAGGTCATCCCGCAGTTGCTCTGTTACTGAGCCAACAAAAAAAACCACAAAGAATGTCCATAACTGCCACTTGTGGAAAAAGCTGACAGACAGCAGGCTCAGCAAAGCCAATAGCATACATGCGCATTAAATGCAGAATTGCCAATACAAACGGTCCAACACTAGAAATGCAGTTCATGGTCGTCAGAGGTAGAAGTAACAACAGTTCAGTAGTTGCACAGGCATATGGCACCACCAGTTATCTATGGGAACAGCAGTTACAACAGTTCAGTAGTTGCACAGGCATATGGCACCACCAGTTATCTCTGGCAACAGCAGTTACAACAGTCCAGTAGTTGCACAGGCATATGGCATCACCAGTTATCTATGGCAACAGCAGTTACAACTGTTCAGTAGTTGCACAGGCATATGACACCACCAGTTATCTATGGCAACAGCAGTTACAACAGTACAGTAGTTGCACAGGCATATGGCACCACCAGTTATCTTTGGCAACAGGCTATTCAGCATTTTCTGAATCTGAGTTTACGACACAAGCCACGTTGGGCACAATCGAATATGCTACAACGGTTCCCAGCATACTATTTGCATTATTTCCACGGATGCCATGAAGTCCACATCATACAGACAATCAATACACAGTATATATATATATACAGAACTATACAACGGAAAGAAGAACAAGCCAAAGTCAATTGAAGTTAATCTCATAAGTAGTTGAAAAAATAAATATCATTTACCTTCCATATTAGCTCTGCTGCCAGCTGGATCTTCAAAATAACATCCCCTCATTGAGGTTCCTTCTAAGTTGGCACACAACATCTTCACACCAAGCAGATTTGCAGACTAGACATAAGAAGATAAATATTTATATAATTATGTTCCATATCGAAATTATATTTTACAATAAGAATACACTTATGAGTTTCAAGAAAAGGATGATTAAGAAACTTCAAATTCAACATTGTATGTATTCTGTGTTTGTCCTTTTAAGAGATAGTTGGTATGTTATGTGGTGATGTACAGCTAGGCTGTGATATCTGCAGCTTTCAGCCCAACACATCCAATTTTAGCAAACACCTTGTATGACATGCCTGTTGGGGGCAGCGGGGCTATTCATGCCCAATGGGGGCCCAGAACCCACACAGGGACAATATAATTTTAATCTGCAGGACTTTCTGTGTTAGATGGCAAATTCCAGAAAACTGGTTAGTGGTCTTGATGGGTATGTTTCTACTTTACAGTCATGCTGACTATGATAAGGGTGGGTTAATGCATGAACAAGTGAGCATTCAGGGTTGTAGTTTCAATAGAGACTGAGACAGAAAATCCACTTTACTGACTACTACTGATGAAAGTTTCGAACTGACCTCACAGCACAGTTCCAGTTGTCTGATTATATGTTGTCTATGACCAAGTAACTATGGAAACTCAAGAGTAGATCTTGTACAGTGAAGTCTTCTATTTTTTCTTAGTGTCCAACTGCTGTAAACTCCAGAGGGAAAGTTCTGGTTGCTTGTCCACATCTGGGCTTTAGTCTTAATAAGCTAGAACTTTGAGCACATAAGTTTTACAGATCTGGCTTATTTGTATGCAGACTTTTGGTTCCTTGTCTCTCAGACAGATGCACTTACTTTGAAAAAAATCACCCCTAATTAGTCGACTCTTATGACATGCTTGTTGAGGGGTAGCAGTGGGTCTATTCTTTGTTTCCTCTACAAACGGACAGTGGAACCCACATAAACCGAGTGTGTTCACTAAAATGAATGTCACCCATGAGTTACCTTTGGGCCTGAGGGGAAGTCTAGCCCCTGCGTCATGATGAAGGCTAAGGGCTTATTATAAACTGGGAAATGAAAGGCAGGAATGTAGAGACAAACCTTTGTCATAAATAACACCAGTGGGTTTTGCAATGATGTCATCCCAAATGTATCAGCTAATATAATCCATTGAACACTAACATAAATGTGTGTAGTATTGACATGAATTAAGAATAGACATCATATCACTTGGGACATTCCCACAGGTGCTCTGTTCTCATTTTCAGCAGCCAGCGCAAAGATCCAATTAACAGTGTGTAAATATCCTCATACATGAGAGTTCTCTCTGTCAGTTAGGCAGAGCTTTACATGCCCGTCAACACTGAGCATATCATTATCATTTTATAACATACTCCTATCAAAAGTGGTTATCTTGACTCTTTCTTCAACGTGTGGGTTCCAGGGCTCCAATTTTTTTTTTTTTTCGAGGGGGAAGAAAGAATAAACCTGGTGCTCTTTAAAAAGCCTGTCATCAAAGGCAACCTATGAATGGTTTACTGAAATCAGATGTGCTGGGCCAAAAGGAGCAGGTATCACAGTTAAGCTTTAATTAAATCACAGAATAAACGTCAAACCACCCTTTTAATACGAGTGAATGCAGAAGAAGAGGACTCTTTCAGAGCATATCATCATTCTTCAACTGCTTTCTCCTCTATATACAACTAGATGCGTTCATGAGTTTATTCAACAGTCTCGTAAAATTAATAGACTTTTAGCAACTTAGATTGTTTTCCCAACTAGACTCCACAAATAAGTCAGTGAAACACTTACATCTATTACAGCCCTGCGCATATCAGCTCTCTCAAAGTTACAAAATGACAGATTAGCTCCGGCGAGATTTGCATTCTTTAAAATGGCGTACTTGAAGTTAATGTATCTCAAATCCAGTTTAGACAGATTGGCTCCTGCAAAATTCATGCCCTGGGGAGAAAAGAACAAACAGAATGTTTCACAACTATCATTATGTCTCCTGCCAATATGTGTAAGCAGTCATGCTTTGCTATAACACATAATCACACTCAGCCCCATCCATATGGCCATAGCCATCCAAGTATTTATCTACTCCGCAGCTCGTCTGTGGGACCATCTTCAACAACAAATCAAAAGTACCACTAACTCCTATACATACAATCGGAAACTATTTGAATATAATCTTTACAGAGATTATATACCATAATTTTTTTAAAAAAGTATAGTAAATTTCTCCTGTATTTACTATACTTACCATACTTAGCATTATTACTGTTTAGAAATGCAGGTAAACTTACAGCACATTCCAGTGTTTGTAACTAAGATTTAGATGTTGCAAATGATTGTTTATTATTATCTATTAAATGTTTGAATGGAATAATTTATGCAAGGAGTGAGGCCAGACTGTAAGAGCAGCCTATGTGTCTCTGATCGCTCTTCTCTTTCTAGTTGGTGATTCCAACCAAGTGTTTGTAGTTCTGTGTGTATATTATCTCTCCACCACCTTCTTGGTCCACTTTGTTGTCTTCTACCATTCAACTATTTTGTACGCAGTTTTTGTCTCTCTCTCTCTTGAGACAAAGACAGAGAGACAACAGAAAGTAAATAAATGAAAAACAAAATTGAAGTATGCTTACTTGGCACCTGAGCTCCTGATTTGTTGGTGTACTGATCAACCGCAGTATAAACTCACGCCTGGTAAGGGGAGTGTTATCATCTGGAAGTTCTTCCCTCTTAAAGGACAATCAGTGCGAATAAAATTAAATGTTTAAATTCAATTTCACTCTTTCTTTCAAATAATAAAATCTATTTGAAACCTAGTGTAGCCCATCAGTGTTTTCCAAAATATTTTAAGAATGTGTGCTCACTGAAATTTTGCTGCCGAGAAGATTAACTATTATCTAATTATTCATAATATGTGTTTTATTACATGCACAAAATACTGCAACATGTGACTCAGAAGCAAACAGAGCATTTGTATCATTATTAAGTGTCATTTCTAAAGTGTAATGAGTTTTCACCTTCTGTCTGACATCTTCAGGGTGCCACTGAGCTGATTATTTTCAGTCTGTCTCTTCGTATAGCGAGCAGTTTCCTCTATCATATTTCTTCTTCAGCATCTCAATGGACACATTAACACAGAGCTGTCTCTTTGTATGATCAAAGTATACCTGAGACTGCATAACCCACAGCCATTACGAATGAACACACAAACTGAATGTGTCAACCGTTTTTTGGTGGGGAGGAACCGACACATATGGTTAGCTCAATAATCATGGCCATAAACAAATCCAACATGTATTGATTACACAACATCTACCACACACATCAACTTCCCTGTGGCATCCAGCAGGGAAAAACACTGCCATCATGTTTTTGAACTACGTATGTTCCATAGGGAAATAAAAGGTAGAAGAAGAAGAAAGCAGCAAATACGTTAATCAAAAAGCCATTCAATCAAATTTTAGACAACAGGACATTGCTTTTAAAGTGAACCATTTACTTTAAACAGCACTTACCTCCATCATGTCTTCCAAAGTTTCTATCAAAGAAGTTAGGCCAAAGAACTTTGCTTCTTCTAACACACCTGGGCAACATATGAATTTACTGCTGTAGTCACTTACATAGCTAATGATCTAGAGAACATTTTGATGTTAACTATGTAAATGTCATAAGACTGTTATATCTTCTTATTTGTGTTCACCGGCTGTAAACTAGGGCAGAAAATTCTAGTAGTTTGTACACTTTTGAACTTTGATCGTGTTTCAGAACTTGAATTTTGCATGCACATCTATTATACAGATCAGACTTGAATACAGACTGTTGTTTTCTCATCTCTTGGGCAGATACACTGACCTCGAAGGAAATACCCTTGATTATGAATCTTATGACATGTTTGTTAGGGGACGAGTAGTGGGTCTATTCTCTTATTCCCCCTCCTCCACCCCAATAGAGCTCTGGAATCCGCAAGGGAAACTGTTATAATATTTCAATATATGAATGCTATAAGACAAAAATGTGAACTTTCTCCTGATTTTACTGTGTTAAACACAACAAATATAATGAAATGCATATAAAATATATTTGCGTATTCCAGCTACTGGTCATAATATTATAAATTTTTAAAAAGATATGACTTGTAATAATTATAAGTCATATCTTTTTAATTTTTTTAAATTCAAGAAATGAATGTCTTAGCATTATTACTCAAGAAATGAATGTTTTTAGATGTGTTACTATTGACAATTAAGTTAAATTGAAAACAGGCTGATAACATGCTGACAGTGAATCAATTATATTTCTGTCTATTTCTTTAAACCTGAGAAATGACTTAGTAATGTTTTTAAACAATTGTTGCAAGTAAATAAATTTTTTTTAAAATAGTCGCGGACAACAGTATTTGAGAAAATACCAATACCTTCTGGGTTCACAAATTTATCCAGGATAAGACGTCCATGTCGTAAATAATTCAAGATAGGTTCAAAGTAAAGGGGGCTTCGGTCAATAAGATATGCTCCTGATTTGTCCACTCTACTACTCCATTCCACTTCTGAAAATAATTCATTTTTTTTTTTTCAATTTCTTAATTAACATCCTGGCTGTAACTGAAACAATTCTATGTAATATTTCTCCTCAACTAATTCATCCTTACATGTTGGTATATAATGTGGGAACATTGTAATTTGTTTATTTTTTTTTTTTTTTCAAGTTTTAATTGTTACTTTTTATTTTTCTCAGATTCACTGATTTCAATCTAAAAGTGCCTTCTCTGCTTCTGTCAAGAGCATAACAGTCACCCCTTCAGTGGAGAGAACATTTTCCTATGAATGTTGAATTTTGAATTATGAATCGCATACAGCACTCGGGACACACTCATAAGCGCTCTGTCCCCATCTTCAGTAGCAAGTAAAGTGTTCCGATTCTGATGGCACCAGTAATTATCTGACTGAGTTATCCCTTGAGTGTTGAGGGTCAGCAAGATGCTCTGGTAATTTCTCGCAGCAACATTCTCCTCAGACCATAATGATCTATGTGTGCCTCCGCACTGCTCACTCATTCCCAAAGAGCCCAGTTGACCACCAAGTGGTGCAGAATCGGCCAGTCTATCTGACTGATCATTTCCCAAAACACTGGCACAACCTGGAGAAAATATCCTAAGGCCGCTAACTACCCAGGACCTCTGAAGCGATGCTTTCTACTCTGCACTAAGCATGCCTGTCTCCACCTATCTCAACATGCTCCCTGAGTCATTTAAAATTACGACATATGTGTACAGTTGTTTCTCAAGCCAGTGGAAGACCGCAGTGACTGCCTCCACCTCCATTTTCAAAATAGATGTTGTGGTATCATTTGCCAGGCTTTGTTGCACTAAGCGATGCCTATTCACTTTTGCTATGAACCCTCATGCACTCTGTTTTCCTCGCAACACACAGCCATCTGTATAGATAATCACATCATCTGGGCGAAATTGTCATGAATCATTTGTTGAACTTCTGATTCTGCAGCACCAGCTGGCCAGTCCCTGCACTCATGACCTAAAGTGATTAGAACCCTACACAAGTCTTATTCATGCTTGACTCTTTGACCCACTCCTCTCCTCACCCAAATTTATCCAGCCTGCACACATGTCTAATTGTGTTATTTTCCTACAAAAGCCTGAAAAACAGTGTCACAATTTCACAAGTTTGGAAGTGTAAACTTGCTTACCACCTTGTTTAGCATAATCCCAAAACACTAATCTTATTTCATTTCATTTTCATAAATTTGCACATGTTTTAAGATTACAGAAGAAATTTCTAATGACTTTCCTAGGTTAAAGGAGATAAGTTAACAATTCAACTCCAAACATAATTTTTGTGTTAAAATTTGTTTAAAGAGAAGAGCTGCCTTTCATGTCAATTTTAAGTCTAGTAAACTTGTTACCAAAGCTAAAGGCCAGTAGATGTGAAGCACTGTCTTGATGTTATCTGTGCACCATAATTATGTTTTGTGAAGTCTAATCTTGATGTTAGCTGTGCACCATAATTATGTTATGTGAAGTCTAATCTTGATGTTATCTGTGCACCATAATTATGTTATGTGAAGTCTAATCTTGATGTTATCTGTGCACCATAATTATGTTATGTGAAGTCTAATCTTGATGTTATCTGTGCACCATAATTATGTTATGTGAAGTCTAATCTTGATGTTATCTGTGCACCATAACTATGTTATGTGAAGTCTAATCTTGATGTTAGCTGCGCACCATAATTATGTTATGTGTAATTATATTATGTGAAGTCGAGTTTTGATTTTATTTGTGCACCATTGCTGTCTCACTTGATGTTATCTCATAACATCATAAGTCTGTTGTTTAATTCTAGACTGCAGCAATATTCAGCTTGTGGATGTTGCAAAAGGTGATAAAATATTGAGTCTGCTGAAATTGGATGTGTTGGGCCGAAAGGCACAATTATTGCAGCCTAGCTTTAAATCACAATATACCAACCTCCTCTTTGAAGGGCAAACACGGATAAAGAAGAAGACAGTGCTGTTAGTTTGATTGTTCCCCTGTTTGTTTTGGGAGGATACAGTTATAGATGCACAACTGTGAGAGGAATAATGGAAGGCATGCACTTAGACAGCATCACTTGTTTTCTAAGTTCCTCAGAAATATTCCAAAATATGTCATTCAATAAAATGCGCAGTCAACATGATGGATACAAGCTACTGAAGTAAAAGGACTCATGAGTTTTTCCTGCTGTTCTTTCAGACCGACTTAAAAAAAATTAAAAGGCTATAATGAAAACATGGACAGAATAGTGCACGAGGCAGGAGAGGGACTGAGTTTCTTTCAGGTGTGCTGTGATGGGATTGACTTTTAGTCAAAGAACCTACTGCATGATGATGATGAGGATGGAAATGTGCAAAATATTTGTAGAATAGACTATCATGCTGGAAACCTAACCTGATTCAGTGCTGAACATCCGTGCTAGCATGCTGTCAGCATCAAACCTGGTCAATGTGCCTCTGAAATAATTTTAAAGAAGCACACCTTTAAACAAAATGACCAGAAAAAAGGACAGCTAGTTCTCTTTGTTGACACCTTTATGGGATTCTAGACAATAGTGTTCCAATGTACTAGAGGAGGCATATGAATCACAGGCATTGTAACTAGCAAAATCAGATTACCTTAACAAGAATCTTTCCACACTGGGCAGTATTCAGGGTTCATAGCCAAATTTACCAATGAATTTCAAGGCTTTTCAAGGTCTTTTTCAAGGTCTCCTTAGTTTTTTTCAAGGTTGTCTCGGTGTAATACTGAAACAAGATTTTTGCCTTGTTCAAGGGTGTACTGAGCACACAAGGTACTTCATTTGTGCCACATGTGTTGGTATACCAGCACAGATATCATCATCATGTAGCATTTCCTTTGTCCTGACAAAAAAACCTCGGTCTCTCACCAGCTCTCCCGCCTCATGTACTTTTTTATACTCAAGGAGTCACTTATATCCTGTGCCCATCTTCGTGTTGGTCGGCCCCTGAGCTTGATATAGTGTTTGAAATTTTTTTTAGAGCTTGGTGGTAGAGGGCAGCAAACTGAAGTCCTGTCTGTTCTGGACCTGGTACCTGAGAGGGTTAGGGGAGAGAGAGAGAGTCATGAAGAGAGAGGAAGACACATGCTGAGGTAGGCTGGGAGAGACAGTGTAAAGATGGACAGATAAAGGTAGAGAAAAGAAGGAAAAGAAGTCTGGGGAAGGAGGAAAAAATTAGAGGGAGGGATGGAGACATGATGAGGAAAAGTGGGGAAGGGACAGCGAAAGACAGAGAGGGAGACAAATACAGAAAGAGGGAATGCAGATACAGAGATCGGCAGATGAAAAGAGAAGGAAAAAAGGAACGAAACAGAGATATGGAAGGAGGAAAATATGACAAAGAGTTGAAAGAAGGGAGACAGAGGGAGAGAGAACGGACAGGGTGAGAAGCAGATGCAAGCAGAGAGAGATGTAGACATAAAGGAGAGAGAGACAAAGGGACAGCACAGAGAGGCAAGCAGACAGAGGGAGAGAACCAAAGAAAGAGAAAAAAGGCAGAGCAGGAGAATGGGAGGGAGGTATACAAAGAGGAAGTGATAAAGGGAGGCAAACAGACATAAAGCAAGAGAGAGAGAGGTGGGTAAGGAAGGCAGTGACAAACACAGATTAAGAGAGAGGGGCAGGAAGGGAGACAAGATACATCAAAGAAAAAAAAACAGCCACCTACTCCCCCCCCCCAACACAATTTTAAGTGTAGTGGACACAACCACTAGGAAAAGATAGTTATGGGGCAAAAAAATACGTAGATGAACCAGTAAAAAAAAATGGGGGGGGGGGGGGGGGGGGGGGAGAGAATGAGAGAGGGGAGCGGGAAAGGAAATCTAGAGAAAATGAAAAGACAGAATGGAGAGGAGACAAAGAAGAGATGGGACAGGAGAAAGGGCAAGGAAAGGAAGAGAGGAAGAATGGAGAGAGAAAGGAGAATAGTAGAAGATCAAAGGAAAGAGAAGGGGTGAGAGAAGAAAGGTGAGACATGGTTGTGGGGTGGGGGGTGTAAGAACAATGAGTGCCAAAAATAGAATTAGGAAATCTCTAAGTGAGGCCACTTTTCCAGTTCCTACCCTCTCCCAATGTGAATGTGGCCGTGGTCCAAAAACAACAGTGCTAACCCCTACTGCCCCTTGCTTGCCCTATCTGTGTGTGACAACAATAATTCAATTTCTAACACTTAAGGCTGGTGACCTGAGAGCCAAGGTCATTTTATGAAGAAAAAAAAGTCCAGGGGATCCCAACCCACCACTGGTGGAAAATAGAGAAGTTTACCCACACACATAAATAGGTCAGACACATAAATAGGTCAGGGCAGCAGTGGACTTCGTTTTATTTCTGGTTTTCCAATTACAGAAAGGAGGGGGGAGAGGAGGTGGTGGAAAGTGGTGTAGAAGGCTGAGGTGGTAAGGGTGAGACAGAGGAGGTGAGAGAATAAAGTTTAAGAAAATAAAGTGGGAATGAGACAGGGAGAGAAAGAAGGGAGTAAGAAATAAGATGAGATATAGAGGGAAGAAGGTAGCAGAAAGGGGTGCACTCCCTCCCCTAGGTGTCATCAATGTGGGAGGAGAAAAAAAAAGGGGGGGGGGGGGGTGACGGCAAATGTGTTTTTAAAAGTACACATATATTTAATGTGTGGGAGGGGGGAATGGTGGACATGAAATGTTCTGCACTAGGCAACACATAACCTTCTACACCAACTGAAGGTATGGAGAAAGAAAGAGAGAGAGAGAGAGAGAGGGGGAGGGAGTGAGGGAGAGTGGCAAATACAAAGAGAAAGAGAGAGAGGAAAGCAGTGACACAGACAGGCAGAGAGTGAGGAACAGGTAGGACAAAATGTGAGGGGGTGGGAAGGGAGATGGACAAAGATTAAGGCCGCTAGGAAAACAAACACATCAAATGAAAATATCCACCATGTTCCCACAGAATGCCCCCCCCCCCCCCAATACAACTTCCTGTGTACTTGAGTTGCTAGGAAGAGTTATGGAGCCGCACATTTACTAAACATTTAAACAAGAAATAAAATAGGAAAAAGGGGGAGGGGGGACAGGAAATGAGAGAGTAAAAGGAAAGATAGAGAGAAAGAAAAGAAGATGAAGATCAGAAGGGAGGGTTAGAGACAATGCAGGAGACCGGAAGGAAGGAGCAATAGGTAGAAGAGTGAAAGAGGGAGGGAAGAGAGAGGGGTGAGACAATAGAAGAGGGAATCTCGGGGAATTACAATACTGATCGCCAAACACACTGTAAAGATAAATCCAGGCCAAAAATAGAACTGGGAAATCCAGCTGCAGTCACTTTGCTTAGCCCCAATGCCATCTCTAATTAATAGAGAAGGCCGTGCTTAGCTCCCACCATGGTGACTCTATAAATACAACTGAACCGAGCCCCACCATCTCCCAATGTTATCCTTTCTAGAAACCACGGCCATAAACGATTTATACTGTTCATTCTGCCGGACTTGCTAGAAACAAAGGCACACACACACACACACACACGCGAGACGGAATCTGCTACTTCCCGCCGCCCCATGCCACACCGCTGCTGTCTGCGTGTATTCATGATCTGCAACACAGCCCGCCCTCCCCTGGCCTTTAACAAGCCATTTCAGCTGAAAATAGCCAATAATCAGCTGCCCTCACACCTGAAACGACCATACAACGAAAGTAGCCAAAAACTAGCCAAATGGCCAAAAAAGCCAAATGGCTCCCCCAAAATTGCCTGTGCTGAAAAACACAGGATTTCTGACGATTTCATTGCCGCGGTCAAAATTCACGGCTTTTCAAGGTCGGAATGTCTTTTATAAGCTAAAAATCCCGGTTCAAGGTCAACGAAAAAAATCCCGGTAATTTCCCGATTTCCTGGTCCACTACGAACCCTGAGTATTGCAGATACCATGTCTTGCCTTATTAATCCAAAGGAAAGGTAACACCAATATATCTGGAAATAAGCAGTCTGCAGAGGCTGCTGGATCAGAAGTGCCGTGCTCTTTCCACCAGTCAGGATAGTATTCATATGCCCATATACTGCTTCATAATTCCTCAAGTCTGAATGGTAAATGCAGCACTTATGGGAATGGCCTGAGTGTTGTGATGCCAGTTCTTGACTCAACTCAACAATGTAGTAGATGCCAGCAGTGTTTTCGCTATAACCACAAACAGTATGAGAATGCACATCTTGGCATTCCCAAGGAATCTTATTGACTTCAGTCATAAAACTATACCCAAGCTTGTATACTAAGTAACTGAATAAGATCTGTAAAGCTGAGGGAGGTTTCATGCACTGATACTGAATCTGTGTAGAGGTCTACAGTTTGTAAAGTTGTATTTATCATTTCATCAGGGAGCACAAGTGTTGTGGGCAATGAAAGGTTAAATAGGCTGGTTAACACTCAATAAAAAAAAAAATCAAGTAGACAGTTATACTTGAATGGGTACAGTTGATCGCTAACTGCCAATAGATTTTCTATGGGGAAGATCAAAGCACTTGTGAATATATCTAAGTACATGATGATACTCTGAACTAAACTAAACATTCTAAAACTGGAAAAATCTAGTTGAGAATATATGCTTGTAGGTAGTTAAAACTCCATTTTTTTAAAAATAGGGATAAGTTAAAATGTTACTTAAAGTGAGATAATCAAATTCACTGCACCAGTTTGATCCCATTAGGTTTCGTCTCTCGTCACACAATGGCCAGATGCCTGCCAAGAGTGTCCCACTATGCACAAACATAGTTCCAGTGACAATCCCCATGTATCTAGGTAAAAACTGCATTCGTTAATTGACCATTTATGTGTAAGCACACCTTGTGGATGTAAATAATCTCCCTCCAACATTTAGAGTCACCCAGTCTGACACGTCTGCACTAGCTCCGCCTGCCAAAGACAAAGCATCCAGAGAACCAAGGATATGACAATGACACTTGCCCACAGCTGAAGAAAAAATATAGCAGGAAATTATACATTTTTCAAAAACATTGAAATAAATATAATTTGAAGTAGTTTTATTTGATAATACCTAATTAATGTGTGGTAACAGGTGCAACCTGCTGATAAGCTAGGGGGGGGGGGGGAATTAGTTAATAAAATTAAGTTGAGAGTCAGCAAATATTTTAAGCATCTTATAAAATAAGAAATAAATTCAATTTAGGATGTATGTTCTCTGAAAATCAAAATGACATCACAAAGACTGGAAAATATTTTTTTTTTTAAATAAAAGAATAGACAATAATTTTCAAAAAAAGCTTATCTGAATAACTAAAGTGACAAATTCAAAACATCAAATTTTGAACTCTAAAATCAAAGCAAATAATAAGTAATTGTAGGTTTGTAATTGTATATTTGCAGGACTTCATTTACTGATGCATTTGTACTGAGAAACTAACCAACTAGGCACCCCACAAAAAAAAGTATCTTCATTGGCCATGTCTGTCGTACAGCTTGAAACACATAACTGTAGAATACGAACAGAATTCATCTCAAACAATTGAAATGGCACCATAGGTTACATAAATTTATATTAACCATGCATATGTCGAATAACAAACACAACAACGATTTACAAACACTGCAGACCAGATTGCTTTCTCTAGAATACACAAACATTTAAGAAAGAGATTTGATTGGTAGGTTCCATTGTGTTACACATCAATCACATAAATGAATAGAAGGGGAACCATTGAGGCCATATAAATATATACATATATATATATACATATAAAATTAACAAACAGACAATGTATTGATTGCCACTCATAGAAAGAAGTAGAAACATAGAAGGACACACTAGACAATATAAATATTGAATGCTATAGTCACCGTCCAAACCAACAGCCAGTGACAATAAATAACCAAACACAAAAATGTAGAACATTTCACATTTCTTTGCAGTGTGGTGTCCCTACTGGGAGGGACAGAGAAAGACATACTGTCATGCCTGAACAAAGCTAGAGTTGCTTTTGGAAGGATGAGGCAAATCTGGAAATCCAACAGTTACTGCAGAGGAACGAAACTCCAACTTTACAAGAGCATCATTCTGTCAGATCTTTTTTATGGAGCAGAATGCTGGAGAATTACCATAAGGGTAGCGCACAAGCTATCCACCTTCCACCACACATGTCTACATAGAATTATCAAAATTTTCTGACCAGAGACAATCTCAAACACTAAACTACTTAAAGTCACAAGCCAAGAACCTCTAGACAGTATGATAACCAAAAGAAGATGGAAATGGTTTGTCTACATCATGAGAATGAGTCCTGATATACCTGCCAAAACAGCTCTCAGACATCAGAGGGAAAGAGAAAGAAGGGGTGCCCAAAAACAATATGGAGACGAACGATGGAAAGTGAGCAGAGTGTGGCATCTCTAACACGGAAAACTGCACGGAAAGTCCTCTATGAAGCCTCATGTGCCACTGGGCATAAGGAGAACTGATAGTTTCCATGCTGGGAATCGAACCTGTCATCTCCAAATGTCGTGTGCACCTTGTTATGGACACAAGTGTACTAAGAACATGACCAACTAGGCACCCCAAAAAAGGTGTCTTTCACATTTAAACATCAGATTTAGCACCATACAACATAATATGACTGCATACCTATAAAAGATTCTCCTTCTGAAGCATAAAGTATATCATCATCTCTGAAAAATAAAATTACATAATGACAATTAAAAAAAATAATCGTCTCCAGATAATGACTACGGTGGTGGCAGTAATTCAACAACAGATTTTCTTTTAAACAAAATTTTTATAAAAAAAGATGCGATTGTGTGACTGTTCACTATTGAAGCGTTGATGTTTTCTGGGAAAAAAAATTTTTTACAAGAGAGAAGAAAAAACAGTTGGGTTTAGTGAGATAAGGCTGTGTAAATACATTAAATATAGATTTAACATTAAGTGGAAAAGGTCAAATTAATAACAGACAGAATAAACAGAAATAACACACTGGACACTGCAGAAGTGAAGCCTTCATCATAAACTTTATTATCTCACTACAATAATATACACTATAGCCATCTGCAGCTTTAAATTAAAACTTGTGCATTACATACTCATCCTTTTTGTGTTGTTGAGAAATTGTTTAGTCTCTCACTCGAAAACAGAGAACAAATGGTCAACGTAATTATTATTATTTGTGTCATCACATTTTGTTAGGTACTATATCTTTTTGTAATCAATTAAGTGTCATCTCCACTGCGTAGGGTGGGTGCAAGAATCTTCACAACTCTGTATGTTGCCCTGGTTGAATTCTCTGATACTGCTGTTCATCTATGACTTGATGACATACACCCATTTGTATCACTGTCTACCTTTTGCTTATTTGACATTTAACTCTTCCCCTTAGTAAACTTTTTCTAAGACTGTTTTCCTTCAAAGTCTGAGTGCATCTGCCTGATAGACAAGTAAAAAACAGACTGCATAAGGGATACACACATCTGTAAAAGGGATGCACACATCTGTAAAAGGGATGCACACATCTGTAAAAGGGATGCACACATCTGTAAAAGGGATACACACATCTGTAAAAGGGATGCACACATCTGTAAAAGGGATGCACACATCAGTAAAAGGGATACACACATCTGTAAAAGGGATACACACATCTGTAAAAGGGATGCACACATCTGTAAAAGGGATGCACACATCTGTAAAAGGGATGCACACATCTGTAAAAGGGATGCACACATCTGTAAAAGGGATGCACACATCTGTAAAAGGGATGCACACATCTGTAAAAGGGATGCACACATCTGTAAAAGGGATGCACACATCTGTAAAAGGGATGCACACATCTGTAAAAGGGATACACACATCAGTAAAAGGGATGCACACATCTGTAAAAGGGATACACACATCTGTAAAAGGGATGCACACATCTGTAAAATGGATACACACATCTGTAAAAGGGATACACACATCAGTAAAAGGGATGCACGCATCTGTAAAAGGGATACACACATCTGTAAAAGGGATACACATATCTGTAAAAGGGATACACACATTTGTAAAAGGGATACACACATCTGTAAAAGGGATGCAAACATACAAATCCGGTCATGGAATAAAGCCAAAGTTTAAAAATGGATAAACTATGGCTTTCCACCAGAGCTTACAGCTGTTGAATACAAACAACAAGCAATAAAAATGTTGTCTATGTGACAGAAATACTGTCACTTTTGTTTTTTATTACTGTGTTTAAAAAGATACCGCTATCTTGCAAAAAATAAAAAGCTTTTCAAACTTTCAAACAAGTACCAATGTGTACCAGAAAGACCCATTTCGAATTAACCATACAACAATGTCTTTTCTTTATCTTATAACTGTTAAATCTTCAATGCATCCACCATAACAGTTATAGACTTGCAAATGTACCAGAAAGACTCATTTCAAATTAACCATTCAAAAATATCTTTTCTTTACCTTATAATTGTTAAATCTATAATGCATCTGCCATAAAAGTTATAGACTTGCACAGTACCAGAAAGACCCATTTCAAATTAACCATATAAAAATGTCTTTTCTTTACCTGATAACTGTTAAATCTTCAATGCATCCACCATAACAGTTATAGACTTGTGTTGTGCTGATTCTCAACTTGTGGCTGATTTCTTTCAGCAACTCTTCCCAGCTCTCAGGAACCAACAAAACCTTTATAGTGTGTAAATACAGAAACAAGAACTCTTGTTGAAAGCAGTTACAAAAGTGAAAGTAAACAAATTATGGCAATGGGGGAAACATTATTGGGTCTGAATCTTCTATAACCAAATGGTGACAGAAGAGATCTATTAATAGCATGCTGACCTGACCATATCAAATATCTGGCCCTCTTTTGAAGAAACTTCACTGAACTTGCAACTGTACTTGGTTAGAAAGAATAAATCAATGTGACCATTCAGGTAAATCCTAAAATTATCCAAGTAGTCTCTCTTTATATCTTTCCTTCATCATGTGTTTGCTGACTGGCATGCCTGTTCAGATTTCTTTGCCAGATTGTCATGCCTGTTCAGATTTCTTTGCCAGATTGTCATGCCTGTTCAGATTTCTTTGCCAGATTGGCATGCCTGTTCAGATTTCTCTGCCTGACTGGCATGCCTGTTCAGATTTCTCTGCCAGATTGGCATGCCTGTTCAGATTTTGATGCCAGATTGGTATGCCTGTTCAGATTTTTCTGCCAGATTGGCATGCCTGTTTAGATTTCTCTGCCAGGCCTTATCTCTAGAGCTTTCCCTTTTTGTGCTGGAATTAAAAATAGAATAATGTATCACAGAATAAGTTAACAAATTTGCCTAAACCAAAGTGTAATGGAAGATGCCAGATGATGAATATCAGAACCTGAATTATGATAGTGTAGCAAGGATTGGTATGTTCAGGTCCTACCTAAAAAATGGGAAATGCCTGCACGGAACTCATTGCCTCTGCCAACCAAGTCAACCGTACCTACATGTGGTGCTAACTGTTCTAACAGACACAGCTCTGGTGCATAGCGAGTCTCCATCGCTAAAAAAAATTGAACCCCCCCCCCCGGAAGGGGTTATATACCAGGCAATGGCTGGGGTAAGCCAGACAGAAACCCTCGGTGTAGTGTTACCAGGGAGCCTACCCTGGATAATGAAAGGTAAAGAAGGGAAACTCCCACAACCTCTGATTTCTGGCAGGCAGTGTTTAGATGAACCAGGACACATATAGAGAGACTCCATAACTTCTCCCACCGAAGATGGACATGTCGGTCTGAATGGCGTGGAGACCCAGAAATGGAAACAGACCTTAACGCAATCTACGGTTAATGAGTATGCTTAGATACCTACACCGTTATGGGGCTGCTCCTGTTGACTAATACAAGGAGGAAACAGCGCCGGATTACAAGCTTTGAAGAGATCCACTCCAAACTACTGATGGTAGCTCCGCGGACTAGGATTGAAAGACTCCTGGCCTTAAGAGCAAAGTGTGCAGAACAAGCTATGGGGAATCATATAGGATCTGCTACTGACATGCGAGTTCATAGAGGCAACCCACAAGATGGTTTGATCTGAGCATACTAAACCGAACGCAATGAAGAAGAAGAATTACGAGTAAAAAAAGGGAATTTATAGGAATATAAATCCTTACATTAGAGAATTTTTAGTATTTATGAATAAAATCTTCCAGTGCACCTGGGCAGTCACATTATATTATCTGCATTATTATCATGTGCACTGCCAAGCTGCATAGGCACTCTTGTCTTTTTGCACTGCCAAGTGGCATAGGCACTCTTGTCTTTTCACAGATCTCGATCTTTGGCATTTTGAATCAATTCCAGTGAAAATACTTCATGTCATCGCCTCAAGCCGTTAAGCATCATCTTTTTTGGTCTGCCTCTGCTACAGTTGATCCTTCCAATCATTATGATGTTCTCCAATGCCTCTTTTCTTATCACACACTGAAGATCACTGACTGCCTCTTTATAAAAGTTGTATATTATTTTCTAATTTTATTAGCCATTTCCTGTGGTTGTTAGTCACTCTGTAGTTCATGGTATCTGCAGTATGCATCTCAGCATTATATCAGATAATATTGATTAACATTACCTAAGATGTATTGAAGCAGTTTGAGATGTGTGTTTTTTCATAACAAGAACCAGCTGGATTGAATATGTATAGAAAATATGACTCAAAAACTAATATAAAAGAGAAGACTTCTGATTGTCAGACTCTAAGTGGGTGCCAATCTCAGGTTGCAATCTCAGAAATTAAAAACAAAAGTAAAGAATCCTAGAAGGCAAAACACACTGGGACTGAGAAGCAGAGTTGTGAACTAAGAACTGCCATCACTGCAATCAGGATGTCCCCAAGCTTGTGATGCATCACTTCAGCCCCAGTCAGGCAGTAACCAGCCAATCTCTCTGTTTCTCAACACACCTCAATATGCCAGGAGAAAAGATCCAAGGGATGCTAACTACCGGAAACCTCTGAAGCCAATCTACATGGCACATGCCTAGCCTATCTCCAACTTTCTTGACATGCTCAGTGAGTCCGCTACAATCATGACACGAGTGTACAGCTGGTTCTTATGCCAGTGGCAAGCTAGATAATGTAGTATCATATCTTTCACTTTGCTTCACTAAATGACACCCATTTGCTTTTGCAATGAGCCTCAATGTACTTCTTCTGCCTCTCAAAATGCAGACCTCTATATAGATAATCATATCACCTGGGTGGGAACTGTCATGAATCAGCTGTTGAATTTCTGATTCTGCATTGCCTGGTCATTCTCTGCCCAATGTAATGTAAACCTACAGAAGTCTGATTTTTTTCTATGACACCTCAACTTACTCTTCTTCTCGCCTAATGCTTTCAAGCCTACACACATCTCTAATAATGTCTTTTGCTTGGGCCGCCCAAGACTTTCCTCCTATCAGCCTGTGGCTTTTGGCTGTATTCAAGGTTTCTTAATGAATATGCTTTCTGTCTGCCTTTACTCTGATGTAAGACTTCGCTTGCAGTACTATAAGCTTGTCTGCTCAAAGCAGTAGTGTAAGAAGGTATTGCATACATACCACTGAGTTATTTTTTCCAAATCACAGTAACAGCTGCTCTCTGTAGGCGTCAGCCATCATAAGCTGAGTCTCCGATATGGTCAGTAGTAATTATTCCATAATCCATCACTGAGATTATTAAATGCTGGTACAAGGTGAAGAGCTTCTTTGCCCTATATCCACTGCTTCATAATTGTCAGTGCGGTGAGGCCCTTTTGGCATTTTGCTTCAGCTGCCTCCACATGGTCCTCGAAGAACATGTTTTTTCAAAGGTGATACCCAGGTACCTAAGTCTGCTTTCTCATCTAATGTTTCTAACACTAAGTGTAGGTTTGGGACACTAGCTCTTACAATGCTATTGTCATGAGACTACTATAAAACAGCCACCTTTTCTGGGTTGATGACAGCACTCATCTCTGTACACCAGCCAGACACTTTGTCAGTTGTTGCCTGTGGCTCATGAGCTGTTTATTGCCTATTGTTTCTCTTCCTATTTGCAAGAAATCTGAAAATGTCAACATCCTTCCAACAGTAGGTGCTCTAAGTTCTGCATTCTTGTTCACCTCTCTCTCTCTCTCTTCCTCTCTTTCTTAAAGGACAGAAGTGAAATTTCAGACTCTTTTTGTGGCCCTGGGGTAATATTGCATGGCTCAGAAAGCAAGTACCCATATGAAGGGAAACCAAATGAAAGTATAGGACAGCTTCTATTCAGTTAACTAGCCAGGAACAAGAACCTTCTCCTTAACTGCAGTGATTGAAATATCATATCTGACTGCATTTTTGAGAAAGAGGAAAGGGGATAAAAAAGATAAACAATTACAAAATACAACCAAAAAAAAAACACCCCCCAAAAAAAACAAAAAAAAAAACATTCATTGATATATACTGAAATTAAAGAAAGTAGCAAAAGACTTCGGCTCTACTGGCAAATCCGGACGAAGAATAAACAGCGTTGGACGACTTAGTCAGAGTTCTCTCCCGTCGCCGCACTCCAAACAGTGATCGGAAAATCCACAACGAAACAAAGAAGACAGTCACGTCGACATCAGGGCTGCCAATGCTTGGTTGTTTCCCCCAGATCTGGGTTTTTTTTCGACGCTGCAGGACAATTCTGGGTGTTTTTTTTTGGGGTGTGTTTTGTTTGTTGGTGTTTGCCGATTTGTATGCTTTAATGATCGATAAATTTGCGTGGTTAGGGGGGTAGGGGTTAGGGTTAGAGTTAGGGTTAGGGTTAGGATTAGGGTTAGCGGTAGGGTTAGGATTAGCGTTAGATTTGACAATTTTGACGCCGGAGTTCCCTATAATCGCGCACAGTCCCATACACACAAACAAACAATCGAGGGCCTCTGGATGCTGGTCACACGCACAATTCGCCAACGATTGGGGGCACCAGCCGCACGCTATTGGCGTCATATTTGGCAGAGTTTCAGTGGCGCCACTCCCACAAACATCATATTGTCGGCCAGTATTTCGAAATCCTACGTCAAAATTTTCACATCTAACCCTAACCCTAACCCTAACCCTAACCCTAACCCTAACCCTAACCCTACCCCTAACCCTACCCCTAACCCTAACCCTACCCCTAACCCTACCCCTAACCCTAACTCTAATCCAACAACCGCATGATGATGACTACACAACCATTCACAATGCCTCACGCAACCGTACGCAACTGTGCACGCAACCATATGATGATGCCACGATGTCTCACGCAACCGCAGGATGATAGGTAAGTTTGTCGTTTGTTTCGTTTGTTTTCCGATTACTGTTCGGAATGCGGCGACGGGAGATAACTCTGACTAAGTCGTCCAAGTCTGTTTATTCTTCGTCCGGATTTGCCAGTAGAGCCAAGACTTCTTATTCTGCCTTTCTAGCCCCCAATGGAGCATAGGTCTTTAACCAGCTCACGCCATGTGGTTCTATACTTCGCTACTGCATGCAGCACTCCCCAAGTCCTCCCCATTTTTTCAACTTTACTCTCTAGCTCCCTTCTCCATTTCTCTTACTACTTCTATTGTTCTTCCTACACCGTACAAAGTTTTAACATTCCAGGTGCCAATTTTGGAGGTTTTCCTAGGTGACTGGAGGTACATCAACAATCCAGTCTCCTTTCAGCTTTCTCAACACCATATCATACTTCTTCTACTAGAACAGCCTCCCCTCATCTTGTTTGGTTGGGTTTTTCTTGTTTCTCCTTTTGACTTTTCCCTGGTTGGTTGGTTTTAGTGGCTATTGTTTTACAGGATGAGGTAGCCAACCTCAAACCAAGCCCTAACCTTAGTCACCTCTTACCACAGGCCAGGTAAGGTGCAGTGTTACTATTCTTTGCTTACGGCTACAATGTAATCTAATAACAGATATTAATATCATCAAGCTTCTAAACAAGCATAAGGGCTGGAAAGGAAAGGGGGTGCCTAAGGGAGGGGGGGGGGGGGGGGGGGGGCTAACCAAAACAAAAATCACTACATACATTTTCTGGTTTAGACAGTTAATCTATCAAACTCATGTAAAGTTGAGTTTTTTTTTTTCTTTATTATTATACAACACTGGCTAAGAAGCAGAAGTGATTTTTGATTAAATTCTGAAATTTAAAATCAAGGCAAATAATAAGTAATTGTAAGTGTGTAATTGTACATTTGCAGGACTGTCGTTTTTTGATGTATCTGATCAGTGAGATGAGAGGAGTAATGTAATACATTTCTAAATAAGTCAGTCAAATACGCAATCATGTGTGTAACTCAAGTAACTGCGTTTCTCTCTTCTTCCTAGTGTTCACTGGCTGAATTTCTGGTGGAAAGTTCTAGTTATTCGTCCACTTCTGGACTTGTGTGCTTGTTCCTGAAATTTGAGTTTTGCATGCACATTTATTCTGCAGATATGGCTTATTTGTATGCAGACTGTTGGCTCCTTGCGTCTCCGGCAGATGCACTCCACTTAAAGTTAAAGGCAACAATCATCATCTCTAACTGGTCGACTCCTACGACGTGCGAGGCAGTCTACTATTCTTTTTTTTTTTTAACCAAAAATGCAGCCCCATAACCTACACACGCTGATAACTAAATTAACTGCGTCTAAAATGAATATTATTTATTTATTTATTTGTTTATGTGTCTGTGTCCGACTGAGCAAAGATTGTCAAAGTTTAGTTAGGATGCAAACCTTTCCATTAGAGTTGGTTCCATTTTTGAAGACGGTCACTCTCATCATCCGACAGTGAACATCACCACACAACTGCGACAAATCTGCTGAAATTAACTACATACATACACAGTGTCTGTGACATTTATGTCATATGTTATCCGTTACTATATAACGCTGACTGAACTGGCCGCACTCTTAAGTCAACAGACAAGCGAAAGTAAAAACCTTGGAGCTGTCATAAGGTTATTTTTAGAGCTCGTGAATTCGTGATTGGTTTCTGAAACTGGAAACTCCGAGGTCCCGTAACTCTTACTGTCTGTGGCTTTTACGTTGTGAACGCGCTTCGTAATTTTGGTATCAGCGTTATCAAATGCCTAGCGGACCGGCGTGGGCGATCATGCCTCTCCACAATCTGCAACTGCGTGTATCATTTTGTGTGTTGACATCCCTCCATGCCATGACAAAAGGCTGTCAAGAATCTTCTCGCGTTGTCTTCCTCTGCCGCTTTTTTCTATGGATCTTTCCAGTGGTTACAACTTATTTCAGAATGTTTCTTACAACCAAAAAATGCCGACTGTCGCTTTCTGATTTGTGAAAAATTGTCTTCGAGCTCCCACCTCTATCAAAATATCTGGGCTGCTCTGGATGTATGCGTGGCTGAAGCGGTAAAATCTAGGCTGTCATTGCCACAAGCCAAGGCCTACATGCGAGTTACTAACGATGAAAGACATCTCTGCGTGGTAGTTGAAATAATTTAGAAGAGACGGGTTTAAAAAGAGGAAAGTTGGTGATGACACTCACTGAAGATACCAATGAGCAGGTTGCCTCAGTCGAGAAAATACAGGGTGCAGGAATGGGTCGATTGTGACACGCACAACAGCAGTTTCTATCAGGTCTTTATCACATTTGAAACATAATGTAGATCGTGGTGTGACGGTATGACAGAATTAGAGGTACAATTGATAGGTGAAAACCCTAGGTTGGATTAAACAATAGTATATGCTGATGATTGTGTTCATCGAGTGGAAGATCTGACTGTGGATGTTTAGCTAGAGTAAAGAAAAAGATGGGGACTGAACAAAGTGGTGCTTTTGTATCAGCAACTTTAATCATGAGGATGTAGATAGAGGTAATCACTGTAGATTTAAAGTGAGTAGCAGAAAATAGAGTAACCAGAAGATTTATGGAACTGATTCTCAGTCGGTACTGCTGAAGGTACAAAATGGACAAATGTTTCGTGAGTGGATAGAAACATCAGCAAGTTAACTTCACAGCGGCTTACGTGGATATACTGTCAGGGATATGCAGGAGTGCGAAGAAATGAAAGAGCCGATTTTCTGGCTACAAAAGTCATAGCTACAGGAAAACTCGCACTAAAGAAAGGAGACATTCCGAAGACCGTTTAGGAAATAATGCCGTTAGAAGATGCAAGGTCAGATTAAATAATATATGTAAGAATGTGTGAACGAGGAGTTATTTGTGGATTGGGCAAGGATTGACGTATGAGAGCAAGAGAATAACGAGTTTATAATCAGTGTGCTACGAGGACAGTCAGCATCTACACCTTAAGACATTTGCTGCGGGAGACAGAACACCTACGGGTATGGCCGATGTGTTATGATGTTGATTCTTAAATCAGTAATCAGTAATCATGGCTGCTCTTTTTATGTGTCGAGGAATTCTAAGAATGCTTCTGTAAAACCACGTCTCCGAGGCCTTATGAAGGCTTATTTAATAATTGTCCCAGATTCACAGCCATATATTAAAACTGGCTCTATATAGAGAATTCTTTATAATGGCATGCATTTATTGCATAAAGTTTTTTTTTTTTAAATAAAACGCAGTTTTATAATTTTCCTAATTATTGTCTTTATCCCTGTGAGATACATCTTCCGTTGGATGTTATTCAAAAGTATAGATACACACATTTCTACCAGTGCGTGCAGTCAAATAAAGACCAGCTTACATAATGCTTACATAACTAATGTTATATACACTCAATGCTTTTTTTTTCTGGAGGTAAACAACGGTACGCAATATATGCACCATTTATTCTCATCACTTTTGTGTGCGCTACTGTAACCATTTTGTGATGAATACCAGCACCTTTTTAGGCACCCGTGTGGTGAGTACCGGCACCTTTCTTTTCCGAGGAAAAAGCCCGGTGTATACTTTGTTCTGTTTTGTGCAGAAAGCTCCACAATGAACAAACATCTAGAAAATGAAACTGTCTCTAAAGAAGTGGATATATACAATAAAAGGTCCTACTTACTGAAGACAAAAACAAATACAGAGATTCTTAACAGATTGGGAATTTGAAAAAAAAATGAGTTGCTGAGTTAAATTTTAAAAAAAATAATAGAGGTAGACAACGATACAAGTGGGAAGACAGCATCAAGTTATGGACGAACAACAGTCTGAGAGAGTGCTACCAGCACAAGAGGCAGAGCGTGTTCGAGATCCACTGCAGCCAACCTTCATTGTGGAAACGGCACCTGATTGATTGACCTCATAGTACTGGGAGGACTGGAGCAGTTGAAAGACACGTAGTTTTCGCCCCCACCCCCCTTTCCTGACTCGCAGCCTTTTTTTTTTTCTAGGATTGCAGTTTGTAGGATCGACATTTCATAGATGAGAATGAAACAAGAAAATCCCAGAAATCTCGTTCAACCGTATAACACGGTTATATTAGGATACCCGGACGCAACGAAGAAAACTGCCCAAATTTATCTATCGAATTATAATGCGGAAGGGCTGAACTTGTTATCTTTGATCGAACCACGACTACTTGTTTTCCGCTACTACTACTATTACTGAGCCCCGGTTCCTCTTCCTCCTCCTCCTCCTGCTACTACCACCACCACCACCACCACTACCACCACCACTACCACTACTACTACCACCACCACTACCACCACCACTACTACTTCTGTCGGCGTCTGTCGCTTGGACGTTGCCTACGCACTTCGTAATTCTGAAATACGTGGTTCGATTCCAGCTGCGGATGATTTGGCAGCGGGCTGCTTTATTTGGATTGCGAGAATGGTATTGACCGTCCATCGTTCTGAAAGTAGTGTCAAACTAATAATCATTCAATCGCCTAGTAACTCCACAAACAGCCACAGACAAATATTGGTCCTGGTCCTGCAGCACCTGGTAAAGGCCTACGCCAGTGTTTCGCAAAATGTTCTTCGTCGCAGCGCCTTCTTTCAATTACAATTTTTCCACGGCGCCCTAACCTAAGGAAAAGTAGGACTATTCGTATGTAAGAGAACTCACCTCTGTCAAGTCACTTAAGGGCTCCGTTAACAAACTAAAGAAGTATTTCAAATCGAATACTCTTTAATTATAGGAATGGGATTAAAGTGGCTAATAAGTTAATTAAATTAAATAATAAAAAACATCAGCACAATTTCAGAGATAACCTTGTTGAAAGGCTGTATAACAGTTATAATAATAGTAGTAGTAGTAGTAGTAGTAGTAGTAGTAGTAGTAGTAGTAGTAGTAGTAGTAGTAGTAGTAGTAGTAGTAGTAGTAGTAGTAGTAGTAGTAGTAGTAGTAGTTGCTGTAGCAGCAGCAATAGTCGTAGTAGTAGTAGTAGTAGTAGTAGTAGTAGTAGTAGTAGTAGTAGTAGTAGTAGTAGTAGTAGTAGTAGTAGTAGTAGTAGTAGTTGTTGTAGCAGCAGCAGTAGTCGTAGTAGTAGTAGTAGTAGTAGTAGTAGTAGTAGTAGTAGTAGTAGTAGTAGTAGTAGTAGTAGTAGTAGTAGTAGTAGTAGTAGTAGTAGTTGCTGTAGCAGTAGTAGTAATAGAAACAGTAGTATTAGTAGTAGCAGCAGTAGTAGTTGTTGTTGTTGATAATGTTGTATTAGTAGTGGTGGTGGTAGTAGTAGTTGTTGTTGTATTAGACATGGTGGCGGTGGTAGTAGTTGTATTAGTGATTGTGGTAGTGGTGGTGGTAGTGACAGCAGCAGTAGTAATTTAATGAACGATATCCTGTTCAATCCTTCTGGATTATATTTGGGATACTGATATTTGTTTATTCTTTCGATATTGGACGATTTACATCTGCCAGTTGCACATCTTCTTCTTCTTCTTCTGCCTTTTTATCCCCCAATGGAGCATAGGCCCTCAACCAACTCACGCCAAGTCGTTCTATCCTTCGCCATTACATGGAGCTCTCCCCATGTCCTCCCAATCTTTCTAACCTCATTCTCCAGCTCTCTTCTCCATGTGTTTTTTGGCCTTCCTTTATTCCTATGCCCCTGTGGGTTCCAATGCAAAGACATTCTAGTTATGCTGTTCTCCTGTTTTCTCAGTGTGTGCCCTATCCAACGCCAGCGTCTTTTCCTCACCTCCTGATCCACTGGAGCCTGTTTAGTTCTCTCCCAAAGTTCTACATTAGTTATTCTATCATACCATTTTATTCCCTCTATTCTGCGCAGGCACCAGTTAATGAATGTCTGTAATTTATTAGTAATTGCCTTCGTTGTTCTCCATGTTTCCGCCCCATACAATAGTACTGATTTGACATTAGAATTAAAAATTTTTAGTTTAGTATTTCTTTTAATTTCTTTTGACCTCCACAAATTCCCTAGTGCTATGAAAGCCCCTCTTGCCTTTTGTATTCTTATTTTAATATCTCTATCAGTTCCTCCATCTTTATCTACATTACTGCCCAAATAGGTGTACGACTCCACGTCTTGGAGTGGGGTGCCATTAAGAGAAACCACATTACTATTTGCCTGATTTATTCTCATTATCTTTGTCTTTCCTTTATGGATTTTCAGACCAAGCTGCTGTGATCTCGCATTAAGTATATTTAATTTATCTTGTATCTGATTCCGTGAATGGGACAGAAGGGCAATATCATCAGCGAAGTCCAGATCATCAAGCTGTTTTGTAGGGGTCCACTGAATTCCATTCTTGGTGTTAGCAGTTACTGTTTTCATAGTCCAGTCTATAGCCAGTAAAAATAGGAGAGGCGACAAAAGACATCCCTGTCGCACACCTGTTTTTATTTCAAATGCATCTGTTAGCTTTCCCTCATGAAGAACTCGACATTTCATGTCTTTATATGTTGCCTTTACTAAGTTGATAATTTTCTGTGGGATTCCATAGTGCCCCATCAATTTCCAGAGAGATTCCCTATCAATGCTGTCAAATGCTTTTTCATAGTCTATAAATCCAATGTAAAGTGGTGAGTTCAGTTCAATGCTTTGCTCTATTATAATACGTAATGTGGCTATCTGATCAGTACAGGATCTGTTGGACCGAAAACCCGCCTGCTCATCTTTTAGCATTTTATCAATAGCATCTTTTAATCTTTCCAAAACAATTCTACTTAATATTTTTCCAGGAACTGACAGCAACATAATTCCTCTATAGTTTTCACACTCCTGTAGATCACCTTTTTTGGGCAGTTTCACAAGATATCCTTCCCTCCAGTCTGCTGGTATTTCTTCGGTCTCCCAGACTTTACTGAATAATCTATGTAGCAATTCTGTTGATGTGTTTATGTTGGTCCTGATGGCTTCAGCTGGGATACCATCTGGGCCTGACGCCTTTCCTTCCTTAAGAAGATTTATAGCTTTTCTAATTTCCTCTTTGGATGGTATCTCACAGTTGATATTCAGTTCCATTTCTAAAGGCTGGATATCTGGGGGAACCTCTGGGCCTGTTCTATTTAGAAGCATTTCAAAATATTCAACCCATCTGTCCATTTGATCTTTAGTGTTAGTAAGTACCTTTCCTTGACTATTTTTGATTGATCCAGTTGGCTGACTATATTTACCTACTAATTTTCTTGTGTTGCTGTAAAGTTCTCTGAGGTTACCTTTTGCTGCTGCTGTCTCCGCTTCTTGTGCTAGATCATTTAGATATTTCACTTTATCTGCCCTTATATGCCTCCTAACTTCCTTGTTGGCTTCTGTGTAATTCTCCTGAGCTCTAGCTTTAGCAGCTCTAGTTTTGCTATTGTTTAATTCTGCCTTTTTACTTTTCCTGTCTTCAATCAATTTAATGGTTTCTGGTGTTATCCATGCTTTATGTTTCCTTTCTTTCTTGCCAAGAACTTCTACGCAAGATTCATTCCAGATTCCTTTGATCTGATCCCAGCAGACTTCTGTGTTGCACATAGCAATTTATTATTGTGTAGACAGTGGATTAATTGTAATAAAATTATAGAAGATAAAAAACCTCGCATAGCAACCATTCTTAGCTGTCTCTTAAGACATATATAATATACTCTAGAATTTAGAATCGACATCACATAATGCGGGTCATTCCTGAAAGCGTTCCGTCCCCATCTTCAGCAGGATGCGCAGAGTTCCAATTACGACAGTAGCTGCAAAACGGTGTGCACAATGGAGTTAATCTATATAGCCACCTTCTTCTTCTTCTCCTCTTCCACCTTGTACCTCATCGAAGTGTCGGGGGGAGATGTAATGTTCGTTGATGAGCTCTGTCAAGAGCACTATTAAGATTGATGTTCATTTCTGTAAGGCTGTTCTTAATGCCACCACGCCATCTTTTCCGAGGTCTTCCACTCGCTCTATACCCGCTGTAACGTTTTAGTGTGGTTCGCTGTGGCTGATAGTACCATGGCATTCTTGTTAGGTGTCCATACCACTTCATTTGTTGTTCTTTGATGACCTGTAAGACTGGCTTTATTCCTAGCATTCGTCTGATTTCATGATTTCGTATTCTGTCTTTCCTTGAAACTCCTGCAGCTCTTCTAAGACATTTCATCTCTGTTATCATAATTTTACGTTCATTGGGCGATGTAAGTGTCCACATTTGGCATTGATATTATTATTATTAATAATATATAGCCACCAAACAGGAAATGATAGACATTGTGGTGTTAGAAAGTGGAAGAATGGGCCTCAGTTTGAATAATGGGAAGACAGAAGTAATGGTGGTATCAAAGAAACAAATTATTCCTAAATGTGTAATAAAAGTCAATGGTGTTATTTTAGGACAAGTACAGAAATTTAAGTATCTGGGCACATGGATAACATCAGATGGAAGATGCATAACTGAAATAAGAAACAGAATTGGACAGTCAAAAACTGCATTTTATAAAATGAAAAACATCTTGTGCAATATATCCTTGTCATTGAGAGTTAGAAAAAGAATTCTAGCTTGCTACATATATCCAGTTTTAACATATGGATGTGAATCCTGGACAATCGGTAAGCAGACCAAACCATTTTTAGAGGCCTCAGAGATGTGGTTTTACAGAAGAATGCTTAGAATACCTTGGACAGCTAAAAAGAGCAGCCAAGAGGTTTTGAAAGAGGCGGGAGCCCGAAGACAATTTAAATTTATCACAGACATCAGAAGGAGACAGTCATCATTTTTCGGCCATGTTATGAGAATAGGGAAAATAGAACATGTTGTGACCACTGGAAAGATCTGTGGAAGGAGAGATAGAGGAAGACAACGAGAGAAGATGCTTGACAGTCTTGTTGCATGACATGGAGGTGTGTCGGCACACGAACTGATACATGCTGCAGGAGATCGCAGATTATGGAGAGGCATAATCGCCCACGCCAGTCGGCAAGGCACCTGATGATGATGATGATAGTCACCAATACCTATAAACATTTGGAGTCAACAACTAACTGTAAATAGAAGGGCAGTAACAGAGTTGAATGGGGAGGGTAATATCTGCAGCAATGAACCTCAGTGGTTCAGGCTGCAAAGAAGAAGTTGAGGAATCAGTTAAATGTATCTGCTGGAATATTTCAAGTTGTGGCCTGTGATATTCTGTATCTTTGTTTTGTTTTGTGCTCGGGTGTAATATTTTGATTTGAGTGTAAAATTAAAAAGTTGCATCAAAATGGCGACATCACTGAGTCCATTCGTTTACTGGGGACAATCAAAAGAGAATATTTCTTTGAAAGTTGACCTGAGAAGTGTGGAGGTATATTGTCTTGGGTGATAGTCATCGAAGAGTTGACATTTGATATATTCTTTATTAGCAGAGACGCATTATGTTGTGTTTTTGTCGTAAGAGTGAGCTGAAAACTGAAACTCAAACTGTCATTGAATGATGATGTTCAAAAAAAATTCTTTGACGACTTTGAAACTTTTGTTTTTAGTGAAATAATAATCAGAAAAAATATTTTGTTTAGCATCAACTCAACACCAGTGAGAAAGTCAATTTTAAAACAATACAAGAAGAATATTCACATGCTCCCAATTTGCCTGTCTTAATGTAGATACTTACTTTAGTCAAATTTTTAAAATGCCCTCTACACCAATAAAACCAGCACAGTTAGATAGCTGTAAACAATCTCTTTCCAACGGTACCTCATTTAGGCTTGTATGTCATTTCTGAGCTGAGATATGTAGGTTTTTGTGGAGATGAGATGTAAAAAATAGCTGTTGAAAACTTGTGTCCGAGAAACAAGAAGTTTTCTCTGCGCAGCCAAACTGCGCACTTTCGTTTTGGCTTTGTTTTCATTGGACAAGATGGCAGACAATTTTTCTCAGACACAGCCACATAATAGCGATTGCCTGAAAAATGTCACTGTAAATCTAAATAGCCACTGATAAGAAAGAAATTGTATACACAAATGTAAAATTGGACGAAGAATTCAATTATAACTAGCATTACCATGTCTAGTAACAGTTAAAGCCTAAAGCCAACCTTGAATACTTATTGCTTTTTTCAATTAAATTGATGTAACAGAAAAACAGAGGACGTCCGGCTGTCGTAGACATGTGCTGTTAATTGGGTTCGTTCCCGCTGTTTTCAGCTATTTATAGGTAGTGAAAATCACACCAATTGCAAAATTTCACGAGAGATTAGGACCCATCCCGAAACCCCAGCCAACATTTCCCAAACAAGTTTCGAACGGTTTCCATGGTAACGGAAATTGCCAAAAAGGCCGCAAATTGCCGAAACTGTAGTCGCTACTTAGTGTATCGCCTTTACATTTTCATGTCACTAGAAAAATTATAAGGCTATCCTCCAAATAACGATTCCAAATTATCGAGGCCGTAAATATACCCTAACAGGGCCTCATTTACATGTAAATTACGGACTTCTGGCGACTTAAATTGTGGACTTCCGGCGACTACCGCTACCTTCGAGAGCATCTCCCATGCCGCTACGTGCAGCGTGAAGCGGGGCTAAACTAGATGGCTGGGACTCACGAGCAGCATCTCCTGCAGCTTCCTTCATTTTATTTGCTGGTGAGTCCCAGCCATCTAGATTAGCCCCACTCCACGCGGGACGTAGCAGCGTGAGAGATACTCTCGAAGGTGGCGGTAGTCGGTGGAATTCCACAATTTACATGTGACTGAGGCCCTGATAGGGTATATTTTTGGCCTCGATAATTTGGGACCATTATTCGAAGGATAGCCGATTATAAAATAAATCAGGGTAGAGGTGAAATACAATTTTAAAAAGAAAAAAAGCCTTCTTTCTTTCCTTCCTTAGCATCACCAGCTGTAAACTCCAATGAAATGCTCTGGTTGTTCATCCACTTCTGGATTTTGCTTTTGTCCCAGAACTTGTTACCTGCTTATCCATGTTACAGATCTGGCTTGTTTATTTGAATGTATGCAGATGGTTGTTTCTCACCTCTCATATTAGGCAAGGCAAATGCACAAGACATTCATCAGATGTGCCAACATGAAGTCTTCCACCAGAATTTCAGCTTAATATTGATATAAGCAGTTATGAAAACTGCCATTGTACTCACCCTACTGCATAAGTACACACCATTCTGAACATAATTGGCCACCCACAATTTTTAATGTAGTTCCCAAAACAAAGTCATTGTGGGCACAACAGAAAATGGCATTCCCTCATGAAATCACAGTTCACAGTGTCACACAAGCAATCAGCCAAGTAGCTAAGTGACTGAATCCTTGGACTGCTGGTCCAGAAATGGAGAAATTGCATCATCGGGCCATGCCTAGAAACAATTCATGTTCAGACCAACCAGCTGGCTGTCCATCAAATTAGTCTAGAATATCTAAGGTATGAGGTTTGCCAGCCCACGACCGGCTCCAGCTGACGGGCCGTGCTGCTGACGTCACCGGATCGGGCTAACAATGCGTAAACGCAGCGATTCCCAAACTGGGTGCAGAGGCACCCTGGGGTGCCGTGAGCATTTGCCAGGGGTGCCGCGGCAATATTCAAGAAAAGTCGGCTAAAAATTGTGAAATTATTAAAGAAGTCATGTCGATACTTAAAAGTTAAAATTTAAGTTGTCTTCCCTCGCCACTGTCGAAAATAGTTCATTTCTTGTTTAAGAACCGCTGCGTTAACGCATCGTTAGCCTGACTCAGTGACGTCAGCAGCACGGCCCGTCAGCTGAAGCCGGTCGTGGCCAGCCTCATGCCAACCAAGGTTTTTACACACATATACACACACACAAACACACACGCCCATGCACGCACGCACGCACACACACACACACACAGTACCTGCACTTGTAGGCTAATTTTTTTTAGCACTACTGATATAAACACTCCTTGATGAGCACTGGCACTTTTTTTTTAAAGACACTTTAAGTACTGGTACATTTTTATTTTTCTAAAAACTAAAAAAAAATCAACTACTCTGGTGCCATCTGTTATTAGCTGCCCTCTGTGACATGTATGGTAAGTAAAGAAAAGGTCCTGTTTCCACGCTTTTATGAGTATTTGGGAATATAGGGCTAGACCTATATATTTGTATAGACCAATCAGCACTTGGTGAGTGATGTGGTCAGCATCACGCTGGCCACCTGTACTTCCCAGGACTGCACCTGTTACCCACTCAAGGCTGGGTCGACCTGAGAGTCAGTCATTTTTGAAAAACAAAAGTCAACTCCGTCAGGACTCGAAGCCACGACCGTCCGATTGGCAGGCGGGCCAACGCCACGGTGACTTCTGACATGTATAGTAGACTACCAAATGACTTTTACCCTTTTTTGTTCTTTTGCCTTGGTTCAAAGATCCTGACTCTAATTACCATTTTGTATAATACCCCTGTATGCTGCGTTGCTCACATGTTCTATTTTATTCTTGTCAATGATAGAATGTTGAGGTGTCTTTAACTGAGGAAGGTCTGGATTTCAGTGCCCAGGGTCAAGGAATAAAGGGCATAAACATCTATAGCTTTCACCTGGACTTTTATTTACGTGTCAACCCTGAGGTAAGTTATTTCTTTTCTTGATGATAAATGTTTCATCTTTAAATGTGCTGTTCATAGGTGTGCATCATCCACTGAGGGCTGATTGGTCTGGGTAAATGTGGGATTAACATCATGTGCTGCTTAAGGGGAAAATGTACTTTATTTTTGTTTTCATGTGGCTTGAGCTACTAAGGAAATCATTAATGTCTCATTATTTCAAAAACCCTGCTGGTTAGTTCACTTATTATCCTCACTGCACATCAAACCATTCAGTCCTGAAGGGCTCAGATCCATTGCCAGATTGCACTCACTGCACATCAGACCATTCAGTTTACAAGTGCTTGGATAGATCGGAAGATTGCACTCACTGCACATCAGACCATTCAGTCCGTAAGTGCTCGGATTCATCACCAAATTATCCTCACTGCACATCAAGCCATTCAGTCCATAAATGCTCGGATCGATCGCCAGATTGCACTCACTGCACATCAAACCATTCACTTCATAAGTGCTCGGATCGATCGCCAGATTGCACTCACTGCACATCAAACCATTCAGACCATAAGTGTTTGGATCGATCGCCAGATTACACTCACTGCACATCAAACCATTCAGTCCATAAGTGCTCGGAGCCACTCCTTTGTAAATTCCACATTGACTGATGACACCAATTCTGTGTTAGTTTATTCTTCTTCTTTGGCCTGCTACATAATGCTCATGTCTGGCCTCATACTTTTTAATATCCTATTCTTGCAGTCTGATCATGGTTGCACATTCTTAGTCCTCTCTTGGTTTGTGCAGATGTCTTTTTTTTTCACAGAGCAACCCTAAAACCATGCTGACATAGTGATTGGCTCACTTGTTTACAGAGAGAGTGAGTCAAATGATCCCAGCAATGATATGATTCATTTTTTCCTATCAGCGTGTCTCTAGGGTCAGGCTCACCTTTCATAACATGTGCTGGCTAATGTTCAGTTTTCTGGGAATTGTCTAGGAAAAAAAGGCAAAAAGAAAGAGTGTTACCAACCAGCATCATAGCACTCAGGTACTCCTATAAGTGCCCCATCCCCATGTTGAGCACCAGTGAAGAGTTCCAGTTCCGATAGTACTAGTAGCAGTTTGATTATTTGTCTGTCTTGCCTTTCCTATGAGTGTAAAATGTTGGTCTTATTTCCTGGTCATTTCCCACTATACTGTTCTTTCCAGACTGTAATGATCTGTTGGCGCTTCCACACTGTTTACTTGCACCCAAAGGGCCTTGACCACATCAGGGTTTGTCATGCATCAGTTCACCACCCAGTGATGTAGAAGCAGCCAGTCTGCATGTTTGTTTCCTGGAGAAAAGATCCAAAGGATGCTAATACCTAGAACCTCTGAAGCAGTGCTTGCCACTCTGCACAGAGCATGTGTCTGCAGCTGGTTCTAAATAGAGTGGAAAACTGCAGTAACTGGCTTCACCTCCATTCTCAAACTAGATGCTGTGTCATATGCTAGGCTTTGTTGCCCTAAGCATCATCCATTGACTTTTACTGTGAGACAATCACAGGCAATCATTTTTCCTCATAGATCTCTCATTATTAGATCACATCTATTGATAGCTCTCTAACACACTACATCTTTAAACCATCCAGCATTATTTCAGAACATTTTCAATCAGAAAACATAAATGAATATAAATATCATCATCTAGCAGGTCCTTTGCAGAACATCACTCTCATCACGGTCTGCCTGAAAGAAACTCTGTATCTTGCCAGCTCTCCCACCTCATGTACTTTCATATTCAAGGAGTCACTTGTATCCTGTGCCCATCTTCGTTTTGGTCGGCCCCTCCTTTCTGTTACTATTCCTTCAACAAATTTCAGCTTCCGAGACCTGATGCTGTTAAACAGCCAATCATTCTTGATGTTCAGGTCTTTTAAAATAGTATTTCTCCTCTTCTTTGTCCATGATACTCTGGGAATCTTTCTATAGTATTTCAGCTCAAAAGCCCCTATTTTCTTTCTTAAGGACTGGGAGATAATCTGCAACTCATATCAGAATGTTGTTACAGGAAAGATGCATGCTCTCAAAATTTTAATTTTGATTTTCTTATTGGTGCTTAACCATAGACTTTAAATGCTGTTTATAGTTTGCATTGCTAGGGCCATCCTTTTCATTTCATTCAGTCAGTCTCCATTGCTATTTAATATAGAGCATATATATTCAAAGTTTGTGACATTTTACATTTCTTCATCATTTATTATTTTTGGTGACAGCCAGATTTTGTCTGTGGACACTATTTTTCTTTTATTTAAATTCAAGAATAAGTTTGATCTGTACTATGCTTTTGGACAGACATGATTTCATTTTCTATTCCCTCTACACTGTTCGAAAGGAGGATTGTGTCATCTGCTTAGCGAAGTTTAGGAATAGGGTTGCCACCAATTTTGAGCGGTTCATAACTGTCACATTTGGACATTTTTGACATTTTTCCTTATGTTTTCTGCACAAATATTGAATAGGTATGGTGAGAGAATGCACCCCTACCTCACTCCCTTTTTGTTTCACCAGCTGCTCTGATGGCTGTTTTTTGTTCATGATATAGTTTTTCAATTAAATTCACCAAATACGTTGGAAACTCCATACATCTCCTTATACTCCACAGTTACCATAATCAGTGAAACAATTTTGAAGATCTACGTTGTATTCTCTACACTTTTCAAAAATTATTCTTAAATTAAAGACATGATTCCTAGTTCCTCTACCCTGTCTGAAGCCCACTTGTGCTTAATGTAGCTCATATTGTAGTTACCTTTCAGTCCTCTCCATGACAGTTTATAAGAGGATTTTGCTAGCATGACTTATTAACAATATAGATATACAAACATTAAATCATAAATAGGGAGTTTTATCAAACACAGTCATTCTTAGTTGTGAACAAATTTACATAAATGTAAACTTTAATAATCACTAAAACTAATTAACAGATATATCTTTAACTCTGCATTTTACAAAACACCAAAGAAATATGCTTTTGTATATCTTGCTATTGCGACTTTTTTTCTTCAGAAAAGTCGATATCGTAAAACTGACACTGCGGTGGAGTTTCAGATAGAAAAATCTGTACCTGAGACCTGGCCAAGACTTACTTCTGAGAGAACTAAACTCCAGTGGCTGAAGATTGATTTTGACAAATTCATGCAAGATGAATCTGAGCTTGAAGATAATAGTGACGACGCTGCAACAGATGTGAGTCTTTAATGTTTAAATGGTCTGATCCTTATATTGTTTTATAAACTCTTTGCAATTGTTTAAATTAAAAAATGAACTCTTTCTGTGATAGCAAGTTGTGACTGCCTTATCTTAGTATGGCATATGACAATGCTGATTTAGCTACATATAATGCCATTATCTTCTTCTTTTCTTGACTCCTTGAATGCCTCGCAGCATCAGGGCAGGAAGAGATCTCTGAAACAAGCTCTTCTGTTTGCTTCATGTATAGTACTTTTGAGTGTCTCTTATATTTATATGGCCCATATTAAGCGTGGTCAACCTCTGGCTCTGTTACTGCTGTATCTGTATAACATGGCTCTCTCTGGTGCTCTGTCTGTTGCCCAGTCTTGTTACATGACCAAACCGATTAATCTAGTGTCTTTATAGTTTAATTATGTTGCATAGTTTCATTATGTTGCATAGTTTCATTATGTTGCATTGTTTCATTATGTTGCCATTATAGTTTCAAAAATCACAGTATTAACTAACTTTTAATCTTTAACAGTAAAATATGGCTCAGAGGGAAAGTCTTGCACACATTCCTTATGACACTTAAGACCACCATTGTCATTTAAAATAGCTGAGTATGTACATTTATTCAGAAAAAATAATTTAGAGTACCATATGGTCAGGTAGATGTTGAGCCAGGGATTTATGGGGGGTAACTAATAAAACATGATAGATGCGCGCCTGTCGGTCTGAAAATGTTGGGGTTGTACCTGCATTGAAGCTAACTTTTTTTCAGAATTGACCCTGTTTGCTAGGTCGACCCAGCCTCAAGTGAGTACCAGATAATTTCCTTGGAAGTAAAGGTGGCCAGTGTGATGTTGACCACATCATTCGCCGTGTGCCAGTTTTTTTCTATAAAAATATTTGTCTTGCATCATATGCCCGATGTACCTTTGGTGTAAAAAGAAAATGGGGGGGGGGGGGGGGTATTTACCTTTATTTAATTTAGTAAACATGGTGCCTTTTTGTGTGTGGTACTTAATGAGTTTTTAAAATGTAACCATTGGAATAATCAGCTATCTTATAAAACCAACATTAACATTTCTTGCTGACTTTAAGCTTTTTCACAGGGTTTTCACATACACACTCTGGCACTACTGTTGGATAAGTCCACTGTAGACCTTTTGTGATTATTAATTTTTTAATCAGCTAAGAAAATATATTTAAATGCTAGATGCTCAATAATTTGAAAGTTGTAAAAACAGGCAGTAATTTTGTTGTCCCTCTTTTTTCCCCTTTATACAAGAACTCACAGAAAGAGCTACTGGAAAAACTTGCACAAGATATCGAGACTGATGATTCAGAAGGTAGTTCTTTGATCAATTATATTATTTATTAGTCCAGGACATAGATGAAATATTGTGTGACTTTTTTTTCCCTTATGTCAAGGGTGGAAGTACGAAAGTAGATACTTCCTTGGTGATGTGAAACAGTGGAGCTTCATATATACTACAGGATTATTGACTGGCTGTTCCCAGCTTCTTTCCTCACCACATTTCCTCAGAGAAATCTCTGGTTCCAGTCCTATGATAGGTCAAATCCAGAACCATTCTGATTGGAAGATAATCCTGCAGTTATTAAGTGCTGAACATCGGTTGGGATGCATGAAAGTAACAGCCTTGACTCTAGTTCATGCAGACCTGGTTTCATTCACAGGTTGGGTGTGTATAAAATAATAAGATGGTGTACACCATGGCTACTCATTTGGTGGCTTTATTAATGAATGGCTCAGGTATACCACATCTAGTTGTTGGTAAGTTTGGATTAGATTTTCTCAGACAAAAATGAAATTCTGGGAAGCCCTGTGCACAAGCTTTATGTTCAGGATCCCTTGGTATTTGAAAATTAAAAAAAAGACACTGCAAAGATTGTATTTAAGATTTTGGAATTTGTTTCAGTCTGACCCATTGATGCTCCATCCTCTGATGCAGTAGCCATCACAGTGTCTCCATGCTAACCATACTTATGTGGTAGTTGATTGGCCTATCTTCTTTGTTTGCCCCCCTTCTGGTGTCTACATGCTTGTTCTTATTTAATACATATTTCGTTGATCGGGGGTATCTTCTTTGTTTGCACCCCTTCTAGTGTCTACATGCTTGTTCTTATTTAATACATATTTCGTTGATGGGCATATCTTCTTTCTTTGCCCCCTTCTAGTGTCTACATGATTGTTCTTATTTAATACATATTTCGTTGATGGGCATATCTTCTTTCTTGCTCCCCTTCTAGTGTCTACATGATTGTCCTGGTATCTTCTTTCTTGCCCCCCCCCCCCCCCTTCTAGTGTCTACATGCTTGTTCTTATTTAATACATATTTCGTTGATGGGGGGTATCTTCTTTCTTGCTCCCCTTTTGGTGTCTACATGATTGTCCTGGTATCTTCTTTCTTGCCCCCCTTCTAGTGTCTACATGCTTGTTCTTATTTAATACATATTTCGTTGATGGGGGGTATCTCCTTTCTTGCCCCCCTTCTAGTGTCTACATGATTGTCCTGGTATCTTCTTTCTTGCCCCCCTTCTAGTGTCTACATGCTTGTTCTTATTTAATACATATTTCGTTGATGGGGGGTATCTTCTTTCTTGCTCCCCTTTTGGTGTCTACATGATTTTCCTGGTATCTTCTTTCTTGCCCCCCCCCCCTTCTAGTGACTACATGCTTGTTCTTATTTAATACATATTTCGTTGATGGGGGGTATCTTCTTTCTTGCTCCCCTTTTGGTGTCTACATGATTGTCCTGGTATCTTCTTTCTTGCCCCCCTTCTAGTGTCTACATGCTTGTTCTTATTTAATACATATTTCGTTGATGGGGGGTATCTTCTTTCTTGCTCCCCTTTTGGTGTCTACATGATTGTCCTGGTATCTTCTTTCTTGCCCCCCTTCTAGTGTCTACATGCTTGTTCTTATTTAATACATATTTGGTTGATGGGGGGTATCTTCTTTCTTGCTCCCCTTTTGGTGTCTACATGATTGTCCTGGTATCTTCTTTCTTGCCCCCCTTCTAGTGTCTACATGCTTGTTCTTATTTAATACATATTTCGTTGATGGGTGGTATCTCCTTTCTTGCCCCCCTTCTAGTGTCTACATGCTTGTTCTTATTTAATGCATATTTGGTTGATGGGGGGTATCTTCTTTCTTTGCCCCCCATCTGGTATCTACATGTTTGTTCTTATTTAATACATATTTCGTTGATGGGTGGTATCTTCTTTCTTTGCTCCCCTTCTAGTGTCTACATGCTTGTTCTTATTTAATACATATTTCGTTGATGGGGGGTATCTTTTTTCTTTGCTCCCCTTCTTGTGTCTTCATGCTTGTTCTTATTTAATACATATTTCCAGGAGAAGATTCATCTTCCCTTTCTCCTTTGTAGCAACATCTCTGGCACACATCAAATTTAGTATGTCTTTTCTGTCCATACATTTTAGTATAGTTTCTTGAGGTGGGAATTCTGGATGCTGTCATTCATTTTAGTTGAAGTTTGCAAGTTTGAATATTCTTACGCATGCCCATTGAGTCTGTCACTATTAGTGAGTGAGATGCTTACTGTTCTGCAAACCATGCAAGTGCCCCTGTAACAGCTGCTGTCTCCATCATAATGCTAGACATAATAGAACTGAATACCTGACTTTCTTCATTTACTGTCTTCATTTGTATAGATGTTTACGTCAAATGGTCAAATGTCCTGGTTTACTAGGGCCCTTTTTCAGCATCAGCAGCTGTTTGGCCACATTTCAGCTTTACTTTTTTATAAAAAATGTCCCACGGAAAAGATATTTATACATATGAATATGGTATGTAGAGAAGCAGCTAGCCAAGGGGTTGGATAGCTGGGCTCTCATGAGAGAGATACATGTTCAGTCTTCAGAAAGAGATTAAGGTTTTTTCTGTCAGGGGCTGAAAAAAAAAATCCTAACTTGCATAGTTTGTGGCGACTGCACTAGCTATATGGTCTTAAATCTTCAGGCTTACGGCCTCCTGTCCTACCTCACCCTAAAAGTGGTAGATACAGTCAATAAAAACTATGGTATGTAATTGTTGCTGGGTTTTATAAGGTAAACAGATGGTAAGTAAAACATGAACTTACCGTCCGTGCTGTAAGTGGTGATTAAGGAGGGTTAGTCTGATCCTGGCTGGAATGTTCAGCTAGTCCTGAATGAGTTACAGAGCTCTTGATGTGAGATGGTGCAAGGCCTTTGTTCCTTGGGGAGATGAAAGAAGATGATTGTGATGTGAAAGCAAGCTACAGAGAGGCAGAAAACATACATTCTGGACTGCAGTATTGCAGAATACTGTGGATCACAGTGGGGAAAACACAGACATTCTAAAGAAGAAAACAGGATTATTAACAGAAAATGAATTGCTGTTGGTTTTTTATCTAAGCATCCTAAAAGTTATCAGTGATCATAGATTGTGAATGCAAAGATGGATAATAAGTCGAATTTGATTCCAGAAAATTTTTGAGCAGTGCGGATTACAGATAGAATGAGCAGTAAATGTGGAATTTGCTACTCTGTTCTTTTAGCCTACTTCTGTTTCTTTGACACTACCTGGCAGACTCATGCACCATTTTTGAGGGCTATACACCATCCAGATTGGTTTTGTGCAGTAGCCTCCCATGTTTTCTTGTGTTTTCTTGACTGAACTTTTTTTTTTTTCATGCAACACATAAAATTACATTTAGAATGGAATAATAAATTAAATGTTAACCAGCTCAGTAATGATGATACATTGTATGTTGTAGTATATATTTTTTTTTTCAACCAGAAAGCAAACTCATTTATTGATTGCACATACATTTTTCAATACTTATTGAAATAATTAATGTTTATTTCTTTCTTAGATGGCCCATCTTTGTCTCAGGTTTATTTATTTGTCTACAACTTGTTCCAGTTTGTGGGTTACACGTATATTTTGGCCATTCTTATCTACAACTACATCAGATATGGACAGTGTGAGTGCTTTTTGTCTGTTTATATCTTGTCCATAATTATAACAAGAAGGAAGAAATTATTTACCTTTTATGTAAAATGGTTTAGTAGTGTATTTTCTTTAGATAATACTATCCAAAATATATAATTTTTGAGTAAAGTGGACTTTAGGGTGGTGTTTTTCCTATCTACTTTGCATGGATAGTACATCTTTAGGTTAAGTGTAAGGTAGAAATGTAGTCAGACCAGTACAGAAAAAGGGAGCTGTCATGGTGTAGCAGCTATAGGCTCACCTGTGGAATCAAAGGTCATAGGTTTGGGGGCTGATGGAACTAGACTTTCAAAGATGACCTTGGCTTTCAGGTCGACCCAGTCTTAAATGGGTACCAGGGAAAGTCATTGGAAAGGCAATCGATTTAATGTTCATCACTTCCCTCACCATGTGCCGATTAATCTTTAAGATGTAGGTCTAGTCCCAAATGCTCAACGTGTGGGCATTTTACGGACATTTTTCAAAAAATCTCAGCATGCTTGTCTGTACCTATAAATAAAATTTAAAAAATTTAATGGGATGGAATAGTTAGTTTAAACTGTTGTCAGGAAGAAATTATCCTGTTGTTTGAGCATAGGAATCAGCAATATAGTGGGTATAAAATACTCTGTATATACTTGTAAATTATTTGCCTGAACTAAAAAAAAAACATTTCAAACCATATGTTGTATTTTATCTTGATCTTCTTCCTCTTCTTTTTCTCTTTGTGTCCCAGAGCTCACTCCATGCGTGTTTATAATTGGTTAGATTTTGCAATGTTTTCTGCTTGAACCTCAAAAATGATCAACAGGCATTGAAAACATTTGCTCCAAGTTTAGATTGTGACAGAGTGCTGCTAGTGCTAATTTTGTTCTTATTCTACCATCATCATGATGTAGTAGGTCCTTTGCAGAACGTCGCTCTCATCACGGTCTGCGTGAAAGAAAAACGGTCTCTAGCCAGCTCTCCCACCTCATGTACTTTCATACTCAAGGAGTCACTAATATACTGTGCGCATCTTCATGTTAGTCGGCCCCTGCCCCTCCTTCCTGGTACCATGCCTTCTTCTATTATTGTCTCCAATCCGTCGTGGCGCTTGATATGACCAAAATATTTCAGCTACTGAGACAGGATGCTGTTTATTAGCCAATCTTCCTTGATGTTCAGATCTTTCAAGATGTCAGTTTATCTCTTCTTTGTAAAAGATATTCTGAGAATCTTTCTTTAGCATTTCAGCTCAAAAGCACCTATTCTCTTTCTTAAAGACTGGGACATTGTCCACGACTCACATCCGCATGTTGCTACAGGAAAGATGCATGCTCTTAAAATTATAATTTTGATCTATCTTATTCTACCACATTTATGAAAAACTTGAACATTCTTGATTGTTATTTAGCTGTGGTGCTCTATTTTTCAGCTGCCAAACAAGGAGCCTATGAGAGTGTTGGCTCACAGATGACAGTCTGTAAGATTGTATCAATTCTTGAGATCTTTCATTCACTGTTTAAGTTGGTCAGGACAAATTTGCAAGTAACAGTAGTACAGGTATGTAAATATAGATTTTGATGCCCGTGTAGAAATAGATACATCACTCATCTTTTGACTAGATCAGACATTATTAGACATATAAATTGCTGTAACTGTGTGATATTCAACTTCTTTTTCTTAACATTCACCAGCTGAAAACTCAGACGGAAAGTTCTAGTTGTTAATTCACTTCTGGACTTCTGTTTTGTTCCACAACTTGAGTTTTAGATCACATCAATTTTACACATCTGGCATATTTGTATGCAAACTGTTGGTTCCTTGCTTTTCAGGCACATGCACTCCCAGTTTAGAAGGAAACACCCCTAATTAGTTGACTGCTGCGACATGCTTGTTTGGAGAAAGGAAGAGGACGGGGGCCCCCAGAACCCACACAGGGAAGGTTCCCATATAAAGTATGAAACAGTATTTTCATCAACAGTGCTGCTTTTTTGGGGATGGGTCAGCAGAGGAAGTTGTTGGGCATGGAGGAGGTGGAAACCATATTTAATGGACCAGTGGTGCCATAAAAGAGTGAAGCCTCCCTACAGGAAGACCCCCCCCCCCCCCCACCCCAAATACAAAGTGTAGGAGGCAGTGGTGCTGGAGGAAGCAGTATCCACATTACTCTGTAAATGTAGCTTTGAGTCATAGGTGGTTATACAGACAGATGCCTACTCAAACAATACAAAACGATAAGCAACTTCAGTTCAACAAGGTTGGATTTCTACTGAATCACATTTTATAGGTAAGTAAAGAGTTGAGTCAAGAATTGAGATCACAGCACTCAGGGCATTCCCATATACACTCTGTCCTCATCCTCAGCAGCCAGTGCAGAATCCCAATACTAATAGTACCATTTGTAGTCTGGTTGTATATCCATCTTGCCTTTTCTCTGAGCGTAGTGTGCCAGCTGAACCTCTCGTCACGCCCAGGTGCATACTTCTCTCATGGCCATAATAATCTAGTTTCTCTATGCTGCTCTAATGCAGCTGTTAGGACCCATAGGAACATTTCTCATCCATTGAAGAAGATGGGGACAAAAAAGATCTGGAAAGATAATATCAAGAAATGGACAGGACTAAATTACTATACACTTGTTCAACAAGCGAAAGACAGAGAAAGATGGTAGGTTTTATGTGTTAGTGCTTCCATCCATACATCTCCATGATCCTAGCGGGTCAAGGGTTATGTGTGTATATGTATTGCACCACATCCTTCACAGAGGCCTGTGGCCTTCTCAAATGAAAATCGCTGGCAGGAGAATTACAAGAGAATTGACAGTATGTGTGTGCATATGTTTGTATTATTCATTACAGACTATACTAAAACCATTTTGTGATATCCCTACAGGTGGCAGGACAAAATTTTATACTGTTTTTCCTAGTGATGCAGGAACCTAGACTGCAGATCTCACCTTTGTGTTGGTACCTATTTGTTGCATGGTCAGCAATAGAGGTTGTCAGGTGAGAGCTGTCACTAAGACATCTATCTTGATTTGTTTCTAAATATTAAATTATTGTGGCTGCTCATCGGTATCTCATTCTTGTAGTGTTAAAAAAGCCTTTGAAAAGAGTAGGCCTTCAGACTTCTGCCTGATCTAAATTTCAAAACTAGAAAAATTAAGGTTTTTTTTTTTTCTATTCCAAAAAATGTGCCAGTGCTTACTGCAAAGTATCTATTACAGCGGGAAAAATGCTGCTTTAAAAGGTTCCAATACTGCATTACCTTGTATATCCCATTTTTAAAAAGCCCTGCGTAAATCACATGATTTTACTATACCCACATTAATTAGTATTCTCACCAGTTTTTACAGTATTTGTTACGGCTGACCTAATAGTTAGAACTTTGGGTGGTTAAACTGGACATCCGGGTTGGATCCTCGGTAAAGGAGGGAGTTTTTTTCCTTTTGGGGGGCAAAATCATAACCCTAACCTGCACAGTTCATGGAGACTGCACCAGCAGTAAAAGTAAAAAAAAAAAAAATATGTGAACATAAACAGTGAAGTTATATTTCTTTTTTCTTTTTCTTCTTTGCATTCACAGGCTGTAAACTCCAGCAGAAAGTTCTGGTTGTTGTCCACTTCTGGAATTTGTCTTGTTCCAGAACTTGAGTTTTGCATGCACATCCATTTTACAGATCTGGCTTTGTTTGTAAGCAGACTATTGGTTCCTTGCTTGTAGGCAGATGCACTCCGACTTCAAAGTAAACCCCTGATAAGTTTACTCTTACAACGTGCTTTTTGGGGAGGCAGTGGGCCTAGTCTTTGTTCTCCGTCCCCCCCCCCCCCCCCCCCCCTCCCCTCGACAAGAGGCTTCAGATTGAGAGGATTGACTTCATTGCCCCTGGTTATCCACGATGTTCAGCCTCTTTCCACAGAATGGTTAGTCACCCTCTGAGAACATCACATAAAGTATGAACTCCATAGCTCCAGCAACTGTCCCCAGAAATCTCTGAAAATATTGCACTCTTGATTTGAATGACGTGTCCATGAAATGATCCCATGACCTTCAGTGTGTGAGGCAAACAGCTTGACCATTTCACCATGACATATTGATTGGTAAACTTTACCCTTGTTGGGTCCCATTTGGGGTTGGGGGGGGGTGGGATAAGACCCACCATCCCTTAACATGCAAGTCCAAAACAGCAACTGTTTAAGTGTTACCTGTATTGTGCCAAACATGCAGAAATTGCATCCTAACTGTCAACCACAGCAGATCATGCTAATCATCCTTTTAATGATGACCACAAAAGAAGAAGAATAAGATTGGTACACTGGAAGAATAATCAAATCACATGCAGTGTGTTATATGAGACAGAAGTTTCAAATATGCATTGCTGTAATCACTGATGTATTTATTTTCTGTCTCTATTTAGGTACCCATATTACCTGTTGCAGTTGATGAACATAGAGCTGAAATTTATAACGTGGCTTCGATATACCTTGTGGATGCCACTGTACCCTTTTGGAATTCTGACAGAAGGTGTGAATTGTTTTTAAATAATATATATAAGCTTACAACATGGAAGACATTTACAGAAGTAAGATAATTTACTTCAAAATAAATAGTTACATTTCTGTTGGCAGTGAAATTGAATTGATTCTGTGCAGACTTTATCTCATATGACCTCATTCCTGATTTTATCAGACACCTCATTTCCATAGTAACTAATTTTCTTTGATGTTTTATTGTGAGTGACGATGTCTGGCACTGGTAGCATAGGGTGGGAATGAATATGCTTTGTATGAGATGACTCCTTGTGCTGATTTGGAGTGTCTCTTACAGCAAGTCGGCACAGAACCAATTCTAATTTACATTCAAAGACAGCAGATCAAATGGTTTGCCCACTTGGAGAGAATGCCTTCTGATGCTATCCATACAGGGCATATACCAAAAAAGGAGAGGAACGTAGAGCAAGGGCAGATCAAGAACAAGAGGGAAAGATAACATCAGAGAAACTATACAGCACTACAATGTGTCTATGGTCGAAGCTGCCAGAAAAGCACAAAGCAGGGCCTTATATCTCCCTCGACACCTGAAGCAGTAAAAGAGGATGTAAAGAAGAAGAAGTGAAATTGATTCTTCAGAATAATTTACATGAGGAAACACTGTCATGATGTGCACAGTTTACATGAGTTAAAAAAAAATGCGACAGTTTGTCATTTATTTCTTCCTCTTTGCTCTTTTGATATTATTTTTTTTCAATACACATGTGTTGTGCCTTAGCATATAAAAGTTGCAATATTTGCACCTATCAGTTGAAATATCTAACCTTCTTGTGCCATTTAATATTATGTAAATATTTTCTCTCAAATGCCTGAGGAAAGTAATAAACATAAAATGGGATGAATTCAAGAGTGTGAAGAAATCAGGAAAATGTGTGGGCAACCATTAATATCAACAGTTATAGCACAAAGAAGATAGTGCTATGTTGGACACATTCTGAGAAGAAATGATCAGAGAGCCAGCAAACAGGCACTGAGGGGAGAAACAGAAGAATCAAGAATGTTGTTTAAAAGAAACGTTGATGAGAGAAGTTAGAGCTGCTCAGTTGGATTCCATGCGTGATATTGAAGTGATTGCACGGGATAGAAGGGAATGGAGAAATAGACTGCGAGCATCATCATCAGTTTCCACTTCTGTCGTTAAGGGTTGTGGGGAGGAACACTTTGCGATCCATTACTTAATGGGCAGCTATGGCTATTATCATTCTGTGTTGATGTAGAAGCTCATTAATGTCATCAGTCCATATTCTCCTTAGGCAGTCTCTTGCTTTCACTTCAGATCTTTTCATGTGTAGCTCCTGCGTTGGTAATTGTTCTGGCTGCATTCTTACTAAGTGACCAAACCATTTGATCTTCTGTTTCTCGATAAATTTGCTTCATGGTTTTGTTCCTACAGTCTGTTTGATAATATAATTTCTAACTTTGTCTCGGATGGTTAAGTTGGTGGTTTTTCTCTGGCTTTTCATTTCACAGGTGTTAATTTAACATAGGTTAGCCTTGGATAATATTCAAGTCTGGCACTGGTTGCACAGTGGTGATATGAATATGCTGTTTATAATCTGTTTCTTGGCTCTCATACTTATGTTTGGATGTCTTGATAATGGCGTCAGTTGGAATATAAGTTCACTGACTCGTTGGCATCTTACTTCTATTTCCCAACTTCCGAGATATTCTTCCTTGATATTTAAATTCTTTAACCTTCTTCAGAAAAGTACCATTCTACCCAATATTAGCGGACCAGAAATTCTGCTGACCTGCATTACTTCAGTTTTAATAATAATTATTTTCATGTTATATCTTCTGCATGTTGAACTTACCCTGTTCAAATGGCCTTGCTACCTACTCTCCTCATTTTAAAACAGGCACTGATTGTCTTCAAATATAAGCTCATTTATTATGTCTGGGTCTAATTCTTCCTATGGAAAGTAAAGTTCTTCATTTTCAGGATTTTCTGGGTCGACTGCTTTAAAACTGGCTTCTTTTGATATTCTATCTATGTATATAGTAAATAAGAGAGGAGATAGCACACATCCCTGCCTCACCCCTGAATTGACTGTAAACATATTAGACAGGCCTTCTTGTGTTCTCACTGCGCTCTGGGAAGTATGGTACATGGCCATGATGTTATCTAGCAACTGCTGAGCATTATGTGACATGTAATAATGGACAGTCAATGGAACTGTTTATCTTTCGCTGTCACCCTCCTTTTTTGTCTTTTAAAAGGTCTGATGCTATTATTTCCAACTGTATTTGTCTGTTTTATTACTGATGTTTGAATTATTTTAATGATTTATTTTTGTGAATTTTTGTCTTTACAGCCACCATCACATTTCAGTCCATCACATACTTCTCTGAGACCGGCTTTCTCAGTATCACATTACCAAACTCAGCAAACTTTGCTTTTTATTTTCCATATTTCTTGATGGTCTACCTAGTCCTGCTTTGTGTTGGTAAGTTTGCTTCAATAATATAATAACATGCTACATAAAATAAATTGTTTGCCGATTTTTTCCATAATTGTCCTTGGCTTCCAGGTTGACCCAGCCTAAAATTGGTACCAGGCAATGTCCTGGGAAGTATAGGCGGCTAGTGTGAGGCTGACCACATCACCTATCAAATGCTAGTTGATCTTTAAAAAAAAATTATATGTCTAGCAATGTATGCCCCACATGTTGACCCAGCCTAAAATGGGTACCAGGTAATGCCCTGGGAAGTAGGGTCAACCAGCATCAGGGCTGTCTCAACACATGCGCCCACCGGGCACTTGTCCGGGGCCCCATGCAAATCTGAGTATGTAAAATGACTTGGCATAAATAAAATTATATTTGGCGTTTAAATTAATTCTGTGTACTGTAAGCGGCATCCGTGGCTTAGGCGTTGCAAGTCCGACTCGTAATTCGAACGTACCACGATTGAAACCCACTGCTGGCTGCGTGGATTTTTATCATGGTATGGGGCGTCGCAGGTTGACTCAGCCTAAAATGGGTACAAGGATGTATATCCTGGAGAGGAAAGACAGCCGGCGTAATGCTGACCACATTACCCACCTAGTGCTGACTGGTCTGTATAAAATATGGGTGCTCTTCCCATATGCCCTATTCACCTAAAGACATGAAAAAGGATCATTACTTACTCTAAAACCTGGATTGTATCCTCTCTCCCCACCTACTAGTTTTGTTGAAATGCCAGTAAGATAACTAAATATTGTCAGCCATTCATATTTCAATCTTGGAGCCGCCATTGTGTAGCAGCTAGACACTTGACTACGGATCAGAAGGTTGTGGATTCAGATCCTGATTTTTAAAAAAATGACTTATGCTTCCTTGTTGGCCCAGCCTTAAGTGGGCACCAGACAGAGTCCTGGAAAGTGAAGGCAGCCAGCATGATGCTGACCACATCACCCACCAAGTGCTGGATTGATAGATAAAATATAGGTCTAGCTCCGTATGCCCAATACACCTGAAGGCGTGGGAAAGGGTTCTTAAATTTCATTCCTGTTGAGTGCTAGTTGATGTGTTAAACAAAACATATAGATCTAGCCCTGTATGCCCCACAGGTCAACCCAGCCTTGAGTGGGTACCATGTAAAGTTGGCTGGTGTGATGCTGACCATATCACCGTGCAAGTGTTGATTGGTCTTAAAATGTAGATCCAGCCCTATGTGTCCAGTACGCCTGACAGCGTGGGAAAAGTGGCCACTTTCCTGTAGGCCCCATGCGCCAGAAGGCATGAAAAGGTCCTTTACTTTTACTTTCCTGTAGGCCCCATGCACCAGAAGGCATGAAAAGGTCCTATACTTTTACTTTCCTGTAGGCCCCATGCGCCAGAAGGCATGAAAAGGTCCTTTACTTTTACTTTCCTGTAGGCCCCATGCGCCAGAAGGCATGAAAAGGTCCTTTACTTTTACTTTCCTGTAGGCCCCATGCGCCAGAAAGCATGAAAAGGTCCTTTACTTTTACTTTTAATTGTAATTTAGTTTATAAAAACAGTAATGAAAGGCATGATTCCTGGAAAAAAGGACAGTGGTCGACCATCATAAAGGTGCGCCTGGAAAAGAGGTGCCTTGAACATGAGAAGAAATGAGGCATGGAACCAAACAGTGAGGCATATTGACAAGAGGATCGAAATGTTTCTTTACAGAGGGTTATGACAGAGGTGAAATTCTGCAAAGGATCTGCTACATCAGCAATTAGTTCTCAATCTATGGGTCGCAACCCTTTTTTGGGTCTAACCATCCTTTCACAAGGGTCACCAAAGACCATAAAACAAATATTCATTGAAGTTATGAAGTAGCGACGAAAATAATTGTATGGTTGGAGGTCACTACAACATGAGGAACTGTATTAAAGGGTCATGGCATTAGGAAGGTTTAGAACCACTGTGCTACATGATGCTAAATTGTAGCTCCCAAACCTGTCTTACATGATTTATTTATATAAAGTGCCACATTTCATAGAAAACCTAATTTTTCATTATGAAAATGTATTTTAACACGTTTAATCTTTTTGAAGTCATTTAAAAAATATGTCAGCACAGAATTAATACAGAGACAGCAAATCAAATGGTTTGCCCACTTAGAGTGTATGCCTTGTGATGCCTTACCATACAAGACATACACCAGAAGAAGAGAAGGACATAGAGCACTAGGTAGCCCAAGAACAGGATGGAAAGATAACAATGGAGAAAGTCTACAACAGCACATTGTGTCTATGGTCGAGGCAGCCAGAAGAGCAAGAAGCGGAACATTATATCTCCCACGAAGCAGTAAAAGAAGAAGTAAAGATGACAAAGAAGAAGTCTTCTGAAACAGTTGTTTTTTGGTTACAAAAAAAAAAGGTCAAATTCCCGTAAATCACCATTGGCATATCAGGCACTTGGTGCTAGACACATGTTTTACCAACAAACAAAAGAAGTCAGCACTCGATAAATGAATGCTTAAGGCATCACACTGACCACCTTTATTTCACAAGACATTACATGTTACTCATTTTAGGTTGGGTCAGTCTGTGAGTCGAAGTTATTTTGCCACAGCACAGATTTGAATCCAAAACCTGAAGCCTCTGCATTTTTATTCGTAATAAGAAATATTTAGTAATGTCAGAGTAGGCTGTTTATGCAAATACTACATAGAATAAATCTCTATTTATTTAGTTTTCTACATGATACAGCACATTTTCTTTGCACAAAGACATACAGCGTGTTGACTCAAATTAGTGTGGACTATTAATTAAAACAGTTTGCATTTATTTCCCTTTCTTTTATCTTCAGCTGGCAGTAGTAATTTGAAGCACATGCTTGCACAGCGACGTAAACAGTTGTCCGGTCGTGGGAAAGCAACAGCTTCAAAGAACAAGTCATCTTGAACTAATATTCCACTCTTGAATTTGCATTTATCAACTTTTACTTTCTCTTCATTTCTTTGTCATTTAGAAATAATTCTTGAGTTTTTCTGGTAATTTCTGCCTTCATAGACACATTTTGGCCACTGAAAGCTGTGGTTGTGCATGAACTAGCATTCTTGCCTAACAGGCAGGTGATCATATGTTCAGATCCCCTGAAGGTGGGGAGTTTTTTTTTTAACAATTAACCTGGGCTTCATGGTTGAACAGCTTAAAATAGAGATGATGGGGTTATTACTATATGCCTTGAACACATCAGGGTGTTAGGGGAAGGGGGGGGGGCTTTTACACGGGCAATATGTGGGAGAAAAACTCAAGAGTAAACTCGCTGCCTCCCTTAAAGCTTGTCATAATAGGGGACTAATTTCCAGTTTGCTGAAATCATGTATGTTGGGCCAAAAGGTGCAGATATTTTAGTGATTAGTGAGGAAAATCATCACAGCAACTTTGGACAGATCCATATGTGGCCTAGTCTCCTCAGTAGCTCCACCTGTCCAAAACGACTGATCACACCCATTCTGTGTTGATTAACCAGACGTGTTGTGCTCTTGGTGTTATGTTCATATCTGGCTACTCCTGGTTGCACCAGGTAAAAGCTGCATGCCAAAATTCCTATGACAGTTGAAAATCACTTAGAATAGCTGTAAGGCGACCGGCTTGACAAAATTGATTAAATTATTCGGTGGGCCAGTTTTGGTCAGTGGGCCATAGGTTTCCCACCTCTGCCCTAAAACGATATTGGTTATAATTAATTAAATTCTGTAACTGCCGAAGATGGAATCCATGACCACTGTGGTGTTGAAAGGTAAGTGCACTCACCCACTTTACCACCACAGCTCCAAGCAGTACAGAGTAATAAACATACATAATCATTTCTTCAACCAGAATGAGATTCCTATCATTCTTAGAAGCATATACAGCCAGCCAGTCATTGCCACTTTCATTTTACCTAAACAGATCAGTAGATAGAACTTACTTTTAGTGTGTTCTCATGTTTAGTGATGTGTGTAGTTAATTCTTCTTTTGTGGTCATCGGCTGTAAACTGCAATGGCAAGTCCTGATAGTTCATCTGTGTCTGCACTTTGGTTTGGTTCCAGGACTTGAGTGTTTCAAACACATATATTTTACATATGTGGCTTATTTGTATGCAGATCATTGGTCCTTTAACTCTCAGTGTTTAGTTATTTATTTTAGTGTTTGTAGATCCCGTTAGTAATATATTTGTCTTTTTTTTTTTTTTAGAGATCAAGCAAAGTTAAACAAATGAAGAAACAAGTTAGACCTTTGATGAAAGGTTGTTCTGGTCATTCAGCACACTAAAAGTAAACTGATGTAGTAGACATATATTAAAATGTCTTCAATAACATATGGAGTGGATAATTTTAGTTGGTAGATTGTCAGCATATTATGAGACTAAAATAAATGCATTAGACAAGTTTTCAGGCACTAATAGCAGTGCTTTAAAAAAAACAAAAAAAATAAGACAGTATATGATATTGGCAAAGAAAAGACTGTCAGAGTGCAGAATGATAAAAGTGAGATATGGATACAATGCTTGAAGGAGAACTACTGATCTCTTATGTTCTTGTGTGTTGATTTATGCTATCATCTGTGTATAATCATGATAATTCAGAATTGTACAACGTGCCATTTTGCCATTTTTGATGTTTCAACTTATGTCTAAAAGTCACTGAAGAAAATGTGTAGCCATGGAGATAGTAGGTTATTGCTATAATATGGATTTACTATGCAAGAGAGACATTTCTTGAGAAGTTGAGAGAAATTTGTGTTGCTTGACTGCTGTTTATGTTTGTTTGTTGTATGCTTATTTAGCATCAACATCATGGCACACGGGTGAAACCTATAAATGCTCCTTTCTACTTCTAACTCAAGATGAGTCAGTGCAGTGCACGAACTCTGTTGCACCGGCGAGAATCCTGAAATACTTTAGTTACATTTTTAAACTCCAAATTTTGCCCAGGCAGCACCATTAGGCTACTTTTTTAAATTTTTCAACTGCCAAAGGATTTTGTATGTGCGCAACAATTCACACAGGTGTTCAATCTTACTACCCGAGACCAGGTGAAATTACTAGAAGTCCACGTGAAAAAATCCCAGCTTTCACCGGGGCTTAAACTCAGAACCTCCAGCACTCGAGGGGACACCATACCTCAAGACCACTCAGCCCATTGACTGTTGTATGATGACCTGGCCTTCTTGCAAGGTAATTGCATACAGAGATGATGTTTGGCACTCATGAATTAGATAACAAACAGCAAACACTTTTTATTTCTGTATGCCTTTGTGTTGACTAAAATATAGAGAAGCTATAGATGAATTATTTTTACAGTATACTCTTGTATCCAGTTGCAGATTTAGATTTGATGAGGCCCTAAGCTATATAATGTACTGAGGCCCTACCAATGTTTTAAATTGCATCAGCTAATCTCTGAATAAATGTATATGCCTTTTAAATATATGGATAATGGAAGTATATTATCGTTTAATTTTGATTATAAGGCATAATCAAGAATTTGTTTGCAAAATCACAGAAAATTACAATGAGTTGAGATGACCCTAGTGTTTTATTCAAAGTGATCCCCTTCACTCCACAAGAAAGCAATTCCAAAACTGAGTCTTCATGAAAAAGTCATACATAACCTTTGGCGAAGACAGAAAAGTGGAGCTAAGTTACATACAGTGTGCTGTTTTCTAGTCAGGGGACTAGGGCATGGGTTTTGTTTCATGCTTAGGAACTTGCCAAAATTGGATCTTTATTGCTGTCACTATGCAAACACAGCAATATGTTTAAGGCAGTTGTAAGTGCAGTCATAAATGCTGTTTGTATCTCATTCACTTCTGATTAATACCGATTCATAACTTACTTTCTGCTTTTCCGTTGTGGTATGATTACAGTTTTTATACAATCTTAAGTTGTTTGGTTTGCATAGATTCTGAACTGAGGCATGAAAATATATTTTTCTATTATTATTTACTAACCATTTATATTTGTTGAGCACTAGTTACTAAAAATATCAAAGTTTCCATTTTTACCTGTAGTATTCTTCATCTTCTTCGCGTTCACTGGTGTAAACACCAGCAGAAAGTTCTGGTTATTCATCCACCTCTGAAATTCAGACTTGCTCCAGACCTGAGTGTTGCATGCATATCTGTTTTACGGATCTGACTTATTTGTATGCAGACTGCTGTTTCCTTACCTCTTAGGCAGGTGCACTCCAGCTTGGAAGGAAACCCCCAGTTAGTCAACTCTTAAGACATGCTTGTTGGGGAGGCAGTGATCTTCTTCTTTTCCCCGAAATGGGGCCCTGGAAGCCACACAGGAAACCTGTGGTAATAGACAGCAGATTTAAAATTCTGCCCTTTATCCCCCAACGTAGCATAGGCCCTCCACCAACTCACGCCAGTTGTCCAATCTTTTGCTATAACATGCAGCTTACCTCATGTCCTCCCATCTGTTTAACTTCACCCTCCAGTTCCCTTCTTGTAGTTTTTGGTCTGCCTTGATTTCTCTGCCCCTGTGGGGTTTCAGTGTAAAGCCCTTGTTTCAGAATTAAAAGTTCACATGTTTATACATTTATGTCAGCTGATTGATTTTATACTGTTTCCTATTTAATCTTTGATGTCGTGAGGGTTTTCCTTAACTAATAAATATTTGTTATTATAGTTTTTATATGCTGTTGCAGTTTAAAAGTTTGTTACTTTCTAGGTGATTTCCCACAGCTATGTTGAGGTTATTTTTGTGTGTAAGGAAGTGTTTTAAAATTGTGATCAAAACAATGAATCAAACATATTGATACATTTGAAAGAATACTGACATTTGTGAGTAAAGAAATAATGATGTCTACATTCCAATGCTGTATATTGGAGAAGATCTAAGGTCCTTAGTTTAAGTTACTAGATGGCACACGGAATGATATGTTTAGTGCAGGGCTGTTCAACTGGCGGCCCGCGGGCTACATCTGGCTTGCGGAGGCCTAGCATGTGGCCCACGGATCATTGCCAGTTGTATTATATTAATGATCTGTCTATGCTTGGGCTCATGACTCTGGCCTGTGACTATCCCCAGTTTAAAAAATTTGGCTCCTGAGTAAACTAAGTTGAATAGCCCTGGTTTAGTGTCTTGTTTTATCAGTGATATGATAAATTATAATAATAAAACAGAAATTATCTGAAAGGAAAATTTGCTGTGTTTGAGAATAAAAGTCAGACATTATGCCACTCTTAACTTTAAAATAACTAAAATATAACCCCTGAAGTCTTCAAGCTGCATGGCTAGTGCAGTCACCACAAACTGTGCAAGTTGGGATTTTTTGTTTTGCCCCTGACATAAAAAAATCTCCATCCCTTACTGAGGATCAAAATCAGGTTTTAAATGAGAGCCCAGCATTCTAACCATTTGGTCAGCTTTTGAAACACAATCAAAACCTAGAGTGTCAAAAGTATCTCTTTGTATGACTATTCAGAATCATTTTCTTTGTGTTGGAATTCTGTTCATGGTTAGTCAGGACAGTTTTACTTGTCTTTGTTTTGAAGTTTTGTATCTGGATTTTAAACAATAAATATTTGTTTATTATTGTAATGACATATTTGTTGTTTATAAATGAAGAGAAATCAGCCATTGATAACCACACAAAGTTGTCAGCTTCTTGACAGTAGAAAACACTGTGGAAACAGAAACAACTGCAAAGACAGGAGGTTCTGTTCAGATTAACTTAGTTTCGACACAGTACCACCAATGTATATATAAGGCCATGTTATGAGAAGAGGAAATATGGAACATGTTTTGACCACTGGAAAGATCTGTGGAAGGAGGGATTGCGGAAGACAACGAGAGAAAATTCTTGACAGTCTTGTTGTATGGTAAGGAAGTGTATCAGCACAGGAACTGATACATGCTGCAGGAGATTGCAGATTGTGGAGAGGCATGATCGCCCATGCCAGT